GTTATTTATCTAACAATAATGTGTGCTTTACGCAATCTCTACAATTGCATGTCTAATGGGTTTCTTGATATAACGTTAACGTTAGCTAATTGGTAAGCATGTTTGGGGCTAACCAACCTCTTTTTATCAATTAAATAATTAACATTTGCATAAGCACGTGCGGTTTTAAAGGCGTGTAAGAAGTACATAGTTAACCAATGTAACTGTATTTTTATGCAAGTTAATATTAGGCTATGTGTTAAGGCTACATTTTAAAACCCATCACTTTTGCTCTGTCTAATGGTGAATCAGAACACCTAAGAAGGTTGTTTTTCTTTATTTAATGGCTACATCCACACTACTACATTTTTGTTTTAAAATGCAGCACTTTTGCTACATTTGGACCTGCCGTCCAGACTAAAACAGCACCTAGAGAAGAACGGATAAGTTTGAAAACGGTAAATATTCGCCGTATTTGCTTTGCGCCGAGTCACTGTCTGTTTCCCGCCGCCACAGTTGCTTTGTAGTCCCGTGTTACTGTCAGTAACAGTTCCACCTTGTTGTCGGACCATGCAAAAACATCTCTGGTGTTGTTTATCGCCGTTGCTATTCTTCGTTCATCTGTAGTAGTACGTTCTTCGTTCGTCGAATCTTCTGCAACAGCGGAGCTAGACAGTCTGCCTCCTGTAGTGTTTACACTGGCACATGCACGCCCAGTGTACGTGAAAGACAATTTAATGCGTGTTTTCAGTGGTTTTAATATAGACAGAGATCAATTCTAAAACACTGGTGTGGACGGAGACCGTTTTCATTTTAAAACAAAAAAGTAGTAGTGTGGAAGTGGCCTCAGACCACTTTTACATGTGGGTGGCTGGATATTGTAGTGAAAAGGGTAACTGAACATTGATATTCAGAAGTCATACAATGTAATGGGAAGCCAGTAAGATACAAACACCTTCTTCATGTTTCCCAGCTGCTAGATGGCTGCATGGTTTCAATGTTAAGTGACACTTCAGGTGATGGGTCTGGCGTATTTTTAGATCCTCATTTTATTAACAAATGATCCATTCTGCTTTACACGCAGTGCAGTTGCATGTTCTGCAGTTATCTGTGCTGCTTAACTTTCTGAGGTTATTTGTTGTGTTGCTTGTACTGCTGTCACTGTTAAAGAACTATTCAGATGCCTCAAGTAAGAAGTAAGACAAAAAATCTGCACTCAGAAGAAAACATACTTTTTAAAAGTACTTAGAAGTACTTGCAGTTATTATTTAGTATGGCCTTTTAGTTACTTAAGACATTGGTTACACGTCTGTGTATTAATTACAGCACTTTGAAAATGTTGTAGTTAAAGCTAAATTAAATAACGCTGCTGTTACAAATGACTATACTAGTACTACTTTATATTCTAGGCAGTAAGCAATGCATTATATTATAGATTATATATCAAAATATTCTCTGGGCCTTTTTCACAGTATACAGTTTGACTGGTCATAGTAGGAAAAGCACACCTGTTTCTCTGCAAGTCATGACAGCGTGACAGCGAGCTGATGTGCAAAATACCAGGACCAGGAAACTGAAGCAGCTAAATGGAATGCAGCTGCCATTCATTTTATTTACACCTGTGCTTTTCCTACCGTATCAATTTACTAGTACCTCAAAGTTGTGCTTGAGTAAATTTAAGTAGCTACATTTGCCACAGAATAATTTAATCAATTAGTTGATTGACAGAAGATCTGCAACACTTTCAAAAAATTTCAAGCAGAAATGTCTAATAAATGATGGTTCCAGCTTCTCATTTGTGAGAATTTATTTCTTTATGTGGTAAATATAATATTTTGGACTTTAGAGCTGTTGGATGAACACAACTAGTCATCTGAAGATGTCACTGTGTGTGTGTTTGGCATATGTCACCAACTAAACAATTCTATAAAAACGACAAAGAAAATAATTGTTAATTGCAGCCCTTGTTATGTAAAAATAAAATTTTTTTTTTTGAAGTGCATTTATTACACTTTTCCAGAAGTAATTTAATTTGTTTGGTCACTGTTGTTCCTCTGTCAACGCTGGTATGAGCAGCTCGTATACCTTTTAATTTTATGCAGGAATTCAATTCAGAAACTACAATAATAAATTCCCATGTGCCCATATAGCAACTCGTCATCACTGCCTGCCTGTAAATGTATGGACGAGTAGACCAGCACTGCAGTGTCGATCTGGCAGCCGTCCACCTCGTCAGTCTGGCTGCAGAAAATCACAGATTGGTGGATGTTTTCACCAAAGCTATAATGTCCCACATGAGGCAGTGTTTTGCTTTCTTTGCTATGTGTGTGTGTGTGTGTGTGTGTGTGTGTGTGCATGTTTGAGCGTTCGAGCACACGTTTTCCCTCCCTCCCTGGTGGTGCTGGGGTGTTTGGCAGGATAAATATAGCTGCGTTGGTGTAAAGCTGTTTTCTCCTCGGCTTTTGTAGCTTTAATCAAAAGCAATCTGGAGGAGGGAGAAATGGAAGGGGTGGGGGGGGGTGGGGTGGGGGTGGGGTGGGGGGTAAGAGAGAAGGAGACCAGGGGGAGGGAGGGAGAGAGGAAGGGTAAGGGGTGGGGTGCATATGGGGGGAGGTGGGGTGTCCATGCCAGAGTGTTTTATTTTAGCTCTCTTTAAAGAGTCATTGGGGAGTGTTCAAGAGTAATGAGAACCCTGGTGGCTGGAGGAGAGGGACTGAGTCTAACCCCCCTCCCCCCCTTTCCTCCATCCTCTCACTGTCTCTTTATTTCCCGCCCAACCTCACTTCCCCTGTCATTTCCTCTTCACTGATGTCAACACAGGACTATGACTACTGCTGCGTTCACACTGCAGGCCCTCATTCCCTGCTCTGTCTTGCTCGATGAATCCTCATATCTATTCTAGGCTGTAACCCACATCCCTTATCGATATGAACTGACAGCGATGTTGACAAGCCACGCGCACAGAGGAACAGTCATCAGAGACGTCACATTTGTTTTTAATGCATTTCAGTGAGTGTATGTTTGAGTCGACCAATTCATTACATCCTTTCTGATGTTGTGTGTTTTTGTCTTCTGTGATAGCACCTGGTCAGCGAAGGTGCTGTACATCAGAATTGTCGCAATTCACTAAGAGAAAAAAAATAAAAAGCATTTTTAAAAATGGCAAAAGACATTTAGTTTTGTTCTTTCTAAATTTTGGAAGCATTGCATTGTATGTAAGCATTCTTAGATGTAAGCATCTAACATGTGTCCAACCAGCACATTGTATATCTAAACATGCAAAGGAATCATCATCTTGTCCTCTATAAGTCAATGCCTTTGTTTTTGCTGAATACGGTGAGGCCTGTTACAGTCTCTGTAGCTTTTTGCGGAGCTTTCAATCATATCTCACAGTCCTGCTCGGTGGATGGAGTTTGCTAAGCTCATAGAGGACAGCAACATTATATATATTCAGAATATTTAGTAAAAAGACTGATGAATAACCAATTTGGGTCTGAAACGTTATTCTTTTTTTTAATGTAATAAAGTTAAAAAGGGAGATTTCTATAGTGTTGCCAGTCTTTGGGAAGCAGAAATCACTGTACAATTTTTGTACAAACAAAGCAAGAACAAAAAAGATGTCCGTGTGTTTGTACGCTAATAGCAAGGACTAAATCCTTGACAACTGAGCAAAGTCAGTCTGCTGAGGAAAACTGTGAGATGCTGTCAAAAGCTGCAGAAATGACGAGGAAGTATTGTCTGACTACTATTTCTAAGTTCAAAAACACTTTTACATACAGTTTTTCCTATTTCCACCAAAGTAGTATAATATTACATTCTGTATCAGCTTGATTTATACATCAGCTTGAAAATGCCTAACTTTACTTTTGATAAATTGATTAATTGTAAAGTCTGTAACATGTCAAAAAAGAAAATCAGCAAATATTCACATTCAAGTGAATTTTTTTTCTTACATAAATAATTAATTGATTATCAAAATTTTGGCTGATTGTTTTTTTTTGTTAATTGACTAATTGTTTCAGCTCTAAACTGCTTTGTTTGAGAAGTTTGGCTTGTTCTGTTAAATGAACAAAAAGGAGTTCTGAAAAGGATGTGTGTATTGCTGAAGCGTAGTTATTGTATTGACACTTGTATTGCTGGTCCTCTATAACTCCGGAATAAATAAATAAAGTTTTTGTGGTACAAAAGATATCAAATGGAACATACCCAAAGAGACAGAGTAAGTTGAGTGTGTTACAAAGAGCTACATACTGTAGTGTGTGTAAAATTTATTTGTTGCTTGAAATTGAGTTTGTCACGATGTGTTGACATCTGTATGCACAGACACCTATAGTCTTTCAAAAAAGAAAATCTGGGCAGGACTTCAGAATTGAGAATCGAGCTATGCAGTGTGAATGGAGCTGATCGGGACATGTGACTGTACACGCTGATCACAAAATGTGAGGGGGAAAATCTGAATTTGGACACTCTCAGCCCTAGTGTGTGAACACAGCCAATGTATAGCCAGCGTGCATATGTGCGATGCGACAAATAGAAAGAAAGAGGACGGGAGATATTTATTTTGGCAGCGAGCTGAATATCCTTTCATTATCCATTTGGCTCTGTGTGCTTGATTTGGAGACCAGAAGCAGCCCACAGTGGAAACCAAGCTGCTACCTGCTCTAACTGCCATGATAGTGATCTTAAAAAGCTTCCATAAAAGCCTTTTTCTGGACGACTCATTGGCAGCAGTGCAGCTCTTTAGGAAGTGCATTGTTCCATTTCCTGTTTGACACTTCGATTGAAGCTGGGGCTCTGATTAGTGGTTGGCAAAGTACTTGGTTGAGATGGTTTTCACAGGCTGCAGCAAAGAATAGTTCCTTCCTGTTGGACACAATATTGTGGCACTAATGTCAGCTGCATTAAATACCTCAGAAAAACATGCCAGTTCTCTGTAATGTTATGTTGTGCATCATGTATATATGATTAGCTGATCATGAAGCTGTGATTATAATCTCCACCCGTGCTCCTTTTTTCCCTAGGTGATCTGGGTGTGTAATAACTGCCGGAAGCAGCAGGAGATCCTGACCAAGCCAGGCGAGTGGTTCACTGGGCCGGCTGGGAAACTCTCTGGCCTCGGTTCAGCCGTCAGCGAGCCATCTGTGTGCCAAACTCCAGGTGACAAGAATTTCCGGTCTCGCTCCCAAGCACCCCCGGGCTCCATCACCGCAAACCAAGACCCCACCCGACCCGGCGCACCTGGGACAACACCTGGCATCGACGCTCGGTCACGTAGTGAGCCACCACGAGACACGTAAGCTGAAGCAATGTGGTCGAACCTGTGCTATAAGACAAAGCATACAACATATTTGGCAGATGTGAATAAACTAATGACATATTTGTTTTACTTTAGTGATACATGAACCTTATCATACCCTATATGCGTTTAGCAACATATCATGCAATAACGTGCAACCATTTAATCTGCCACAGGAGGTGTGTTGTTGTCCTAGCAAAGTAATGCCAATATGGCTGAAAACCTTTTACATTTTTTTTTATCTATGCAACTAAAGACATGTACAAGTGTGTGACAAACTAAAGAAAACCCCAACATAATGTGGGACTGGAACTCTAATGGAGGGATGGCATTCTTCCAAAAGATATTCCCCTCATTTGGCGAGAGTGCTGTCTAAAGCCCTTTTCAGACATGGAATATGTAACGTTGCTGGCTTTATCTATCTGTTAATGTAATGGATTTTTGCCATCCAGACATAGGTGTCTATTACATAAATGTCTGTTAGGGCTTTTTCAGACATGACAGAGCATTTTCAGAAAGCGCTAGAATGCTTGCACCTGGTACGCGAGAGGGAGCGGGATTGGAGTTGAAAAGTAATGATACAAAGGAAGAACATTATTTCCTGTTTTCTCACAGGCTGCACCAGTGATGGACTTTAAATCTTATTTTGCCATTGAAACCTTATTTAAGGACCACGTGTGAGTGTTGCTCCCTCATCTCAAAGTGAATCGCCTAATACATTTTATCATCGATTTCATTGATTAGAGCTGCCTAACGTCCAGCTGCGCACAGGCTTAGAAAAGATGTTACGTTGCAACTCTAGCTAAACATGTAAAATTGCCATCGCAACAAAGTCTCCCATAGATGTTCAGTTGGTTTAAGGTTTGGTGAAGGCCTAAGCAAATGATCAATCTAGGGAAAGGCACTGCATATCAGCTTGGACTATAAATGCTGTGGTGTGTGGCGTATTGTCCCTATACAAATAAACATCAAATAAATAAACACCTCAAAAATGGGAGATTATCACCTGGAACGTTTTAAGAAATATAAAAAAGGCAGACAGTTTCAAAGAAAAGGAAAATAAATTCACTGGTTTCTTGAAGAACGGCTACTGATCACTAGCTTGAAGACTTACTTACACTTAAGAGCAACAATTAATCAGAAGAAGAGAATAAATACACTGCACCTAAAATGACTTGCTGTTACTTGTGTTTGTTGCCTCCAGTGATTTAGCATGGCACTTCCATAAAGTTGGGGGATCTAAGAGACATATTAAAAATGAACAAAATTGAAGCAGAGTAGGCCAAGATATTGTGTCTCTTAGTCCCTAGTATGGGTGAAGCTTCAACAACAGTAGACACTACAAATCTCATAACGCAGCTCATAATGTCTGTCTTTAGATGCTCCCTGCCAGGTAAATGCTTATTTCTTTCAAAACCCCACATTATTATGCAGACTATATATAAAAAGAAATAAATTAGTAGGCTCCAAACCCAAGACGAGATAACCCCAATGACATCACTGTGACATCATCTGGGTTATTAGACTCTAGAAAGCTCCTCCAGAGCCAGAGAAGGACTAACCATGACTAGTCACGTGATCTTTATGTGTGAAATTGATGGAGTGCCCCTTTTTAAACTGCGCTCTGTCAGCCAACCAGAAAGAAAGCAGTCCTTGCAAACTATGTTAATATTTGTGTTATTGAGCATTATGTCCTGCATTCATCGTTTGCTTCTTTTATACAGTGGTGCATTATGTCTCTTCAGCAAGCAGTCTGTGGCGTTGTTTCCTATGCCGTTCTGAGTGTAATGGAAGACTGCAGTCAGTTCCAAAACACTGCATAGTAGAATGTGTTTCTGCTCGTGACTTTCTATTAGTGGAAACTAATTAACAATAACATGGTAACAGAAGCAAAACCCCGCCACTGGTATTAGTTAATATGAGGAAACAGTTATGTTATTAAGGGACATATACGCTAAAAGCAGTCAAATACATTGGGGTCTCTCAAATAACATCTACACCGCTACATTAACTAAACAATTTACCTTAAAATCCACACGTAATGATTTACAATTTACGTTGATTTCAGCTCTTAGTGTTTGTATGTGGGTGTTTTAATGGGAATATGGATCAGATCAATTTGGGAAGCACCTATGATCTTGTTCTACATTTTATTGTATGTCATGTAATGTGGGGCACTGGTCTTGGTCTCGACTTGGTCTCAGCACCTTAAAGTCTTGGTCTTGACTTGGTCTCGATTTGTGCGGTCTTGACTACAACTCTAGATTGAGGTTAATCTTACACAACAATTCTCCAAGCATGGAAATACACGACCACCGTGTTGAAATACTTGTTCTGTTAACATCTCTCACCTATTCTTTTTGTCTCTCTATCCCCATATTGATTGCTCCCCAGGAGAAATGGAAGGGGAGGCGGGGGAACTGGTCGGGGAGAACGCCGGCCGGGTCAACCTAGACTGCAGACCCAGGTCTCCATGGACCGGGATCTCCGGGGGGAGTCCAGGGAGCGCAGGGAAAGCCGGCGGCTGACAAAGGGACGCTCTCTGGAGCACGATCCTGTGGGAGGAGGTGTTGTAGTAAGACGGACAGAAGAGGGGGGCTACCACCACATGCACCACAGCGGTGCCCCCTCTCGCCAAGCAGGGCCGGTCCCTCCTGGAGGCCGGGGCCACCCTGTGCCCATGCAGGGTCGTGGCATGGGCGTAGTAGGGGATGTTGGGGATAGCGTGCGGCCTGGTCAGAGGACGGTGGGTGGGGTTTGTGGGCCACATGAACACACCATTCCTCAACAAGCCCCTCCCCCTGAACTCAGAGAGCCTCCTGGTTTGGGCCCTGGCTCAGCCCCTGGCCAGGTACCCATAGTGAGACGGACCAAACGGGAGAAGGCTGAGAGCATGCTGCGCAATGATTCGTTAAGTTCTGACCAATCGGAATCTCTACGTCCGCCGCCACCGAGGCCCTACAAGTCGAAACGAGGGCTGGGGGCCGGAGGGAAAAGGCAAACCAGCGTCAGCAGTTCAGAGGAGGAGGGAGGGACCACGCCTGAGTACAGCAGCTGTGAGGATGCTGAGATTGAAAGTGTCAGCGAGAGAGGTGAGACAATATCAGCCATCACTTTCTGTTCAGAAAAAAACTGTGGTTGATTGAGCGAGAGAAGGTACGTTTACAGTTGTTAAATATCTGATAAAAATATGAATAACCACTGATACCTCTCAGATCACATGTTAAAGTGACATAACATTTGATCCACGTGTCCCAACCTTGCTCTAAGAATTAGCTTTTGGACAATCATACTCCACCCAAAATCTCTTTTGAGTTGTCTTGTTTCTAGTTTCCTTCTTCGTGGTGAAGGTGGCTATCATCAGCCTGAATTAATGTCAGCAGCCAGTGCTCAAAGTGCTCAGGCAGTACATTATACACAGGGTCCTTTTAGTGATACTAAAACTTTTAGTACTTACAGGAAATTATAATAATCATAATAAGCCAACAGCAAGATATAGTTCGGTAGCAAGATAGTAGCCAGTAGTATTACATTAATGTCCACCGTGACGTAGAGCTCCATGGACTACACACAGCCAAATAAAATAGACATATTACATACCTGTCTTGGAGGAAGAGGGCCAGTTCAGGATTCCAAATCAGCTTTTGAATCCTTTCAAATCCCAATTTTTTCCATCTGTTGATTGACTGACCGAGGTTTCCTGATGTTTTCGCCTGTGCTTTATCACTGTCCCTTTTTTTTGTTCTTCAGGCAATTATTTTCGTTTTCTTCTTGCTGATCAGTATCAGTCATAGTCACAAAATATATCACAAATACAGTTCCAAATAGATAAATCTCCTCCTGCTTAATTTTAACGTACTACTCACTGTAAAACTTTGCCTGGGGAAATGTAAACATTCTGTTGGATCTTTGCGTACCGTAAAAAAAAATTGCCTGATTTAGCGGGGAATCAGACCATTTTGAATAACCAAATAAAAATAGCAAATATTCTCGCTGATATTATCTTTAGCTCTGTTTTATACCCAGTTAAAAACTTCCTGTTGTACATTAATATTGTCTATTTTCCGGTGTGAATACACAACAGACACCACACCTGCCTAAAATTAGAAAGCAGTATTGAATTGGGACACAGCTAAAGGTTTATAGAATGGAAATTGTCATTGATGGGGATGCTCTCCTTTCATATCACACAGAGGAGGTGTGCTTCATGCAGGAGCATTCTGCATGTACTGATGGACCATTCACCTTGTCCGGTCACTAAATCCACACAACAAAGCAAGATATGGAATCGACTACTGTTGACTAATGCTAAGCTACATACAGAAATGTCACTATGGCTGCCTGCTGATTAATTTCAATATATAGCCAAACTAGAAAAAAACTAGATGCCACCTGCAGTATCTATGGTAATTCTACAAACTGACACAGTTAAAGTACAGTAGCTGTTATTGATGGCTCAACCTCAGAAGTTAAAATAGAATGCTAGAGGTTAATGCAAATTGTCTTACAAAATGCATTGCTTTGTTGAAACTGACTTCCCAGATGTACAACTTGTCTTTGGTTGGCCAAAAGAATGCATCATGTTATCTGTTTTTATTTTATTTTAATCCACAAGGCACCCAGGAGCACAGTGTCTCCTACAACTACACTGAGTAAATCAGCCTGATTAGGTCATTAGGATGAGGTATTTAAAAAAAAAAAAACACACACACAAAGAAAACACATCTCACTAACAGAGCCTCTTCAGACAGAACTATGTGCAGACATTTAAAGAAATACTGATATAGTGCAATGTATTTCACGCACTCACACTATGTGTTTAATCATTTCACTGTATGAGGTACTGTTTAAGGCACTGCTTTTCGGTGTGTGTGTGCATGCGTTCGTGCGTGTGTTTGAACACTCCCACTTGAACACTGTATCATGGGAGATGAATGTAAGAAGTGTGGAGAGCTTTTTAGTCTCAGTGTGCCGTCTTCATTCAGACTTTGTGAATCCGGAGACGCCTCTCTACTTTAACTCTTTGAGTTCAGTGATCAGTACAGGTAAGACTGCGCTGATATAACCTGCTGATTTGGGGAAATACTGTGTGTTCTCATTTGCTTTTATCTTGTTGTATGAAGCATTTTGTAAAATCTAGTATTTCAAATGTATTCCACACCAAACTACTTGAAAACTTTAACATCTTAGAAACTTTCCAAATGATTTCTGTCATCTGGTTGTGTTTGCAGAAACAATGCACCTTCTGCAACATTTCCTAACCTTTGTGTACAGCGCAGGGAGCGGTGCCTTAGCCAGCAGTCAGAGTGTCAAAGTGAGCAGCGATGCAGTATACCAGCGCGCATGTTAATGACTGTGTGTGAGCCTGTTTATTTATCTAAATGTTTTCCCTTGTGTCATATTATATTGTTTTCAGTTTGGCCCTGAGGGGCGACAATCCCACATTGAGCACACGTGTGTGTGCATGTTAGTGTGTCTGCGATGGGGCAGTTTGACCCCACTTGATCCCAGTGTTGACCTTGTGTGGCCTCACTGCCAACAATGTAACCCTGCCTGAGAACACACTACTGCCATGTCCAAGCTGCGTTATGTCACTTCACTACTAACTATTCCAAGGCGCTCGGGCTCAATGCTATCTATCCAGCTGTTCTAGAATAAAAAGCTAAAAAGTAATTGGCCTTGCTATTGTTCTTTAATTCTAGACGTGATGGCAGGAGAGAACTACAAGTCCTGTTCTACTGCAGGTTTGCAGAAAATCAACACAAAGTGAGAAAAATACGTGGGAATACTACTGAAGGGAGAAGATAGCATGTCGTCTGCAATGTTGTAACAATTTCACAGGCTATGACAAATGAAAATTTCCTGAACTTCAATACGTTCTTCTTGAATCGTTTTTCTTGACACTTTTATGAACTCAATAAAAATAAATCATAGATCAAATGAGCATAAATTAGTTTTGGGAAAACAGAAATGATTGAATAAGTCGTTTACCTCTTCTTTTTATTTACCACTACAAGACAGTCCATGCCTTTTACAGTTTCTACCTAATAACAATGACACTATTTATCCAACACGCTGCATCTGTCTATAGGAATGCTGCGTTAAAGCTACACTTTCACCGGAAGCTGACATCTATAAATTGTGTTGCGTTCTGATGAAAAAGAGCAGCACCAGCCTGGACCCAGACCAGGCGCTGTGACATCAATCAAGTGGAGGTTCAGGATGAGAGTGCTCTGTCAGGCCGGGTTCTAAACACAACGGCGTGGCAAAGAGATGCTGCTTCCTTTTTTAGCTCGAGACTGAGACCAGGTCAGCTCTGAGATGTGGTTGCTGGCAGCCGAGTAGTGTCCAGGCATGTAAATCATTGTAAGATCAGGAAAGCATACACAATACACTCAAATATGCAGTCAGTCACAGTACAGTAGATCCTAGTTTTAACGGAAGTAAACAAAAGGAGGATTCTCATTTTTAGCCGCTGACTATTGATTCTGCCGGTTGAAATGACAAATGTTGCTACAGTAGGAGATTTTATCAGCTCCAGTAGCTAGCTTGCACTCCATGAGCTCGGCCTCTGTTTCCAGCTGCCTTTTTAATGTTTCCAGCAGAGTTGTTATAAAGCAAAAGCCTTACCAGTGGGGCTTAAATATGCACTTGATGGCTACATTCATGATGCAATGCTAAACTGACTGGGGCTAAAAAAAAAATGTTAGAAAAAAATGTTATTTGATGTGATTTGCAAAAGTAATGCTATCACAGGTACGGTTGGGTAAGGTTTTGAGTGTAAACGTCCCCAAATCCAATAAAGAGGACCAGTTTTCATACCACTGGGGAGATACTATACAGGTATAAGATAAGTACTGTTGTGATTAATTTGCTCCTTCACCTTGGAAGTATCACAACGTTACTGCTGTAGTTAGTAAGTATTATTAGTAGTTTTTGGCATTTCCACACTATTTAATTTTTTTTTTTTGATAGTAACAGTAGAAAGAGATAAGAAAGGCAGGAGATAGGGAAGGACACATACAATTAAAAAGCAATTATCATCTGTTTTTAAACGTCTGCATAAATCTACTGTACAACAATTGACCATTTGTGGGGCAACTTTGATACCTTTTTTTTCTTCATTTCTGGTCCTTGTACAAGAGCACACACTCACACATGTGGCCCACCCACTGCACAAAATAACGTTCATGCTCGAGTCATGAAACTGAGAACTCGGTTGTCTGTCGTCAGAGCGTTTTGCTTTAAGATTACATAATGTCACTGTAAGTTGTCACAACTCATTTACCTCATAGCCTCCTGGCTCCCAGGAACGCTTGGCTCTGTTTTACTCTGTGTCATAACAGTGTCGTCGAAGTCCTGCACACATTTCAACACCGCCCCCCGGCCCATGTGTACAGTGGAAGCTGTGTCTTTTGTCCAAAGCTGCAAAAGATGGGGCTGAACGACTAGTATTTTGTGTAATTGTATAATACATCCTGACATGAGGAAAACGCACCAGCAACTGTACAGATGATGCTGAAAGAAATCAATTAATTAAATCATTAGATTGTGTTCATATACGTTCAGTTTACTGTAGCTTTATCATCACTGGATCTGTTGACATTGCATAGCTGTCATTGCAATTTTAGGAGTTTTAGCAGGCTCTTATCCACTGATTAGGACTCTGAAAAAAATTTTGTAAGTGGAACTTGAGTTGGATTGTTTTGTCAAATGATTTCAAAGGAATCAAAATGAATTTGCATGCTTATTTAGGAATACTTTACCAGATTCAGTGACATAAAACTTTTGAGGTTAATTTAAACCAGCATAGTATTCATAGATTGGGATTGACCATCTGTCTGGCCAATCACAGCTCCTACTACTGCTCTGTGGGTTGGATTACATTTTATGTATTTAGATCGTAGCTGATTACACCTTTACATTAAATTAGCAGTCATAAAAAAGTGTATATTAAAGCAGAAAACAAATTGCAAAATGGAATATAATATGACACATCAGTAAATGTAATAACAAAAAGTAAAATTTTAAAGCTTTTATAGATTGAATTAAAAAAATGTAATTAGTTTTTAATTAATCATTTGAAGTCAGAATAAAGAAATGATTTAAAATGATTAAATTACAGATTAGTCTATTCTTTTTATAGACTTTATTTTATAATTGTATAATGCACAATTGCAATACAAATTTGATTAAATGAAGCTTTTAAGATTGATATATTGTATTTAAACACAATTTAAGTCTAGAATTATTTGTTTAGAACATGCAGCCTCCCTACTTATAGGAGGTGAAAAGCATATAGGTCAATAGGAATATATGCATTAGTTTAATGCTTTTCTGCAACTCTAATAGATTTGCAATTGTATTTCTTCATAATGACCATCAACATGAGGTCATCGTTTAGCTGTATTCGGTAAACTTTCATTTACCGAAGTTTTTATTCAGCCTTACAACACTGCATTAATCCACAACAGCTAATCTGTAAAGTATCTGGGAGGGATTTAAAGCATTTTAAAAGGCTTAGCTGTCCTTTAGTATTATCACTGCCTCGGTGGACTACTTTAAGTCCTGCCACTGCGATGATACATTTCTAATTCTAGCCCAGGCTTGAATATTCAATAAACTTAACCCCCTCCACTATAAACAAATACCTTCTGAGGAGCCCCCAAATTAGGCCGAGCTGTGTATGAGAGGACTCAGGCTGGTATGTGCTGTGTATACAGTTTGCGTGTGAATGTATGATAGGTCATCGTCTCTTTTCTCTTGCAGGCGACTGGGAGTGCTATCCACATGACCCCACTGTATGGCATGTAAGTCACTGCTTTTTATTGTTATCTGTTGGCCTGGCCTTAAAAGTAATCAGAAGAATTTAAAAATCAATCCGATAAGGAACCGGCAGCAAGTGCAAGGATGCTAAAATTGGGGTGATATGGTCACACAGTTAAAAGTCCAGGCCATTTTGGACTAATTGTAGGCAATGCATTGATTTCTGACTGAGGCAGGGAGTTACAATAGTGCAGGTGGGAGGAGATAAGAGCATGGGTGAGTTTCTCCAGATCTGTGGCTGAAATAAAAGACTTACCCTTGGCTTTATTTCTTAAATGATAAAAACATAACTGGACAACTTTCTTTACAAGTCCTGGTCAAAAACTACCCCAAGATTTTTGGTCAAGGGCTTAGCATAAGATGCTAGTTTTACCATAATTTTAGTACTATGAGCGTATATATCTCAGTTTCAGTTTTTGCATCTGTATGTACTTGTTGTCTCTTGTCGCAGCATCCTGTAACCTGGCAGCCATCCAAGGAAGGAGACCATCTAATTGGACGAATTACCCTCAGCAAGAGGAGTGCCGCCATGCCCAAAGAAGCCGGAGCTCTGCTGGGGTTGAAGGTCAGAGCGGGCACTCAACACACACACACAGAGAATTTTTTTTTCAGTCACTGTTTTCTACCCTGACATGACGGAGACAACTCTCTCTCTGTCTCTTTCTTTAGGTGGTGGGAGGCAGAATAACAGAGTCAGGGAGATTAGGTGCTTTCATCACTAAAGTCAAGAAGGGAAGCCTGGCTGACGTGGTGGGACATCTCAGAGCAGGTAGTCTAAATCATCACATGTTCCCTCCTGTTTGCATAATGTTTGCTATAAACTACAGCTGTTTAAGGAAATTACTGAAATAAAATTTAAATTATATGCAGAGGCTGGAATACATTGAGAAGTTGACTAACACACTGTTGGTTTTGCTCTTTTCATCAGACCAAACGTAAAATGTAGAATAAAGATGAATTATCCTTAAATGTGTCTTTTTAAAAACCTACTCATGACCAGCACTCATGCCCAATTTGGTGAAAATAAAATGTGGTTGTTTTTCATGCGAATACACAATCACGAGCAATTACATATGCATACGCACGTCTGATTTCAGGGGATGAAGTTTTGCAGTGGAATGGGAAGCTGTTACCAGGGGCGACCATGAAGGAAGTTTACAACATCATCCTGGAGTCTCAAGCTGAGCCTCAAGTGGAGCTGGTGGTATCCAGGCCTATTGGGTAAGTCAGGAATAAAACACACCCCTTACACCTGTGAGTGTCATATTTTGTGAAAAATACAACCCTTCAGTTATAAGTCAGTCCCCATTCTAAATGTTGCATTAAACGTAACCCTTATTTAACCAGGCAGTGTTGACTGAGGCACTGACTCAGAGTGGGCTGACCCCAGATAAGACAGGAGACATGTATTTGTATTCTGGCCACGACTGTTCGACTGCATTCAAAATATTAAAAATAGCCATCCATTACCTGGTGCAGGGGTTGCCAAGTTTTGTCTCATATGTCCCCTTTAAAAAAGCACTAGGATGAAATAAGGTCAATTGTTTTTGACCAAATAAAATTGACTGTTAGAGCAATAAAAGACAAGAAAGGGCTATATCAGATGTTTGGTTGATGCCTTGTAAAAACTGAACCAAGCCAATCATGAACATGCTTGTAAGTGCATTTTGAAAGTGACTAATTCAAAAGAATGCATCATTTTTAGGCATGATCGTATCCTGTTACTAGCAAAGTTAGACAATGGTTGATTTATTCTCTAAAATGACAAATCAACATCCTAAGTTTGGTTATACTGATTGATTTGAGAAATCCAGTGGATGTAGTCTTTACTAACTTGTAAAGCTTTTTTAAATTGAGTGAAGCAGTAGACATATTAATTTGAGGTAAGTGGTGGAGTAGACTGTATTAGGGAAGTATTTTATTATTCCATGCAGACAGGATATTATCCATATATGCAGAGCAACAGTATAATACATAAAGAGCAACTTGATCAAATTGTGTCTTAATTGATCTATCTCTGGATCTCTTTTTTTAATGTCCTAAAGTCACAGTTACTGTAGTGTAGTTATTTCTGTTTATGATCATTTGTTAAAATGCATTTAGTAGGCCGAATCTGCTGTAAAATTAATTTGATTTGTGTGTTCAGAGGATCATGCTTGGATAAATGATGCATTTAGTGAGTGGTGATGTGAAAGACATTTGGAAAAGATTATTTATATTAATTGGCTTTTTCTTTCACTATAATATTAAAACCCATTCAGCTTGTTTTACTCTACTTTAAGAGCAGATATTATCTTATCCTGAAAAAAATGTTTGTGCTTTATTTTACATGTCCGTAATACCAAATAAAATCCTAATAGTTTCCTTGAAAAAAACATGTAATTTGGTTCTACGGTAATCATATGGAAAGTAGAATTTTTTTTGCTCCATTTAAACTCAAGTAAATATTACTTTTTTGCTCATCATTCATTTTCTTTTAAGTCTATGTTGAACTGGATGCTTTCCTGTAGAAACAAGTCACATTTTTGCATGTTCAGTGGCCCAAGAAGTCATGACAGAAGTCTAAATTCTAATGTGCACATTTAAATACATTTCTATGAAAAATCAACAAATTTTTCACTACACACTTTCACAAACTGCACTTTATTTGTACACAGAACACTGCTGAATTTAAGGGTCTAGGTTTGCTTGATAACTTCCAGGATATTTTCTCAAATAAATGCTGTTATTGCTCATATTTCAGTCCCAGTAACCTCACATAGAACACTGAGTAACAAATGTACATTTGTGCTTCAGTATTTTTGATAAGCTATTATTGTGAGTATGATAAGCCCATTGTAGTGGGTTTATATATTTCACAGTAAAATACTCACTGTTTTATCAAGCTCTTGCAGCTTTGCTTAAGCTTTAGCCTCATTTGCACTTTGACGGTAAAACAAAGTTGAATGTATTAATTTCTCTCCAAACACTCGCGAAGGGTGTATAGAAAATATCAGTAAGTAATCTGCCCATTTTATTAGGACCCCTTAATCCTCTCACGCTTATGAAAATTATTTTGATTTTGCTGGTGCCATTTTGCATCCCTAATTGAAATGAACTGAATCCAATGTAATAGGGATGCCAATAGAGCAAATATTGGCTTTTGTATAAAATAGCTCCAACTAAATAAAACTGAAGTTTCACTTAAAGAGATGCAAAATGGCCAATGGGAAATGTCCATCAATGTAGCATTGCTTTTGCAAGCTTTTTTAACTGTTTGCGTAATGTCTGAAATTCCTCTTTCTTATTCTTGATAAAGTCTGAGGATCCCAAAGTGACATCTAGCACAATGTCAAATAAGAAATGCTTATTTCTTTTTACTCTTAATCCCTTGGTTTGAAAGTTGGGACATTGGGATTCATAAAGCAAGCAATATTAATTTTATTTCATTTACATGTTTTCAGTTTTTAATTTTGGCAACCCAGGGTCCATGAAACACTTATTAGTTTAATCTTTGTATTTTAAATCAAAAGTTGTAATAGTTGAAATCTTATAACATTTTAGGAGATATAGAATATCAGTTTGTTCCCCATGGGTGACTAAAGAATTCAAAATACTGTTTCCTTGTGTGCTGCCAAACAAACACTAACAAAACACTCTCCTTAAAATACTGAACATTCTACTTTTTAAATTTTGAATTTAAAATGACAAATTAAGCTGATAAGTGTTACACAGATTACCATGCTTTCCTAACATGAAGCTGGTGTAGTGGATTCTGGTGTTTCCGATGGGATCCTTAATTGTAGTGGTGGTGATGGATAAGAAAAGATGGTGGTGTTGACAGAATTGAGCTACTGGCTCCCATCCATTATTATTTCAGATGATCATTGGCCAGACCAAAATGTCTAAATGAGTCTGGGAAACACTGCAGTCATGAGAACATCTTGGCTCTACTTACATAATCCCTACGCTTCTCCATGTTTGTTAACCGAATGATATTTTAATCTCCCAAAAACTTTTAATTACAGTGCTACTACTCTCTTCCAGTAAACTACTACTACATTTATATGCATGTATGCCTGTGCATCAAGAACAGTACTACCTTTGTTTAATCCATTTAGATGCCAGTATGAGAGTGTCTAACATGGCCTTTGCTGCTTCTTTTCCAGTGATATCCCAAGAATCCCCGACACGTCCCACCCTCCATTAGAATCTAGTAGGTATCTCCTGTGGGATGTTGGAACATCTCTGTCTGTATCCCTGTCTGGCTGTCCAATACATACAGTTATTTTCTTTGGGGCAAGCATTGTGGGAATGTTTCCTTTAAATTATTGCACAGAATGTGTTCATCGCCATCCGGCGTTGCGGTGATTAGTTGCGGAGTTGAGTGGGGGTGTGGCCATGTCTATTTGTGCTTTAGAACATAACTGCTATAAAACATTATCTTATTCACCGGCTTTCTCGTTACCGGCACTCCCTCTCCTTGGTTACTCAATAGGTGGCTTGACCACTGCTGTCTCTCTCTCTCTCTCTCTCTCTCTCTCTCGCTCTCTTTCTCTCTCTCTCTAAAACAAATGAACACAAACCAATGTCCAGTGATATTTCAGGCTAAAGGTGGAGCAGTTTGACTGGTCTGATTGCTGGATTGGCCACCGCAGCGCGACGCTGGGTTACGTTTCTCCAAACGTTTGTTATACATTTCTGCTGCAGGTCGCTAAGTGGTATTATCGTGCAACCCAGTTTGCTCTGAATACAACCTTAGTCAGTGGTTAAAGTTATACTTAAAACCATAAGACCATTTTATAATGTATATGAGGCCCCAATACTTCTAAACTTAATTTGACTCAAAGTAGGACAGAAGCTTGGTAATTTGTCATCCTGACAAGTAGCTGTGGAATGGTCTGTGCTCTTATTATGGGAAGTTTTCCAGAGAAAGGAACTCTGGACATTACGTAGATATGAACACATTTTTTGTTTTACAGTTGGACCAGATTATGTTTTCTCTTTACAAACCCCACTCATTTCTCATATTTTCCCAAGGACTCTTGTCTAGACTTGACTTTTTTGTCCCTTTTGAAATAAAGCTGACATTCTTTTCTCTTACAATGTTTTTCTTTTGTCTTCATAGCAGGTTCCAGCTCTATTGAGTCCCAGAAGATGGAGAGACCATCCTTAAATGTCCTGTCTCCCTCCAGTCCTGGGATGCTCCAGGATGCTCCACAGTTAATGCCAGGACAGCTCTCAGTAAGTGTGTGCACATTGAATGCGCTGGGCTCCTGGTGTGTTGAAATGCAGACACACCATCAGATTTATTTGTGTGTGTTTCCCAACCAGGTGAAGCTATGGTACGACAAAGTGGGTCATCAACTAATAGTCAACGTGCTGCAGGCTGTGGAGCTTCCTTTTCGGCCTGACGGGCGACCCAGGAGCCCCTACGTCAAAATGTACTTCCTCCCTGATCGCAGGTATACCAGCCACCCCCTCACAGGGAGTTCTAGTTATCAAAATAGATTTAGGTGAACTACAATGGACTACTTTTGCACATTGCATTTAAAATGCAGTCTAGGTCTACTCAAACACATCATCTTTGACATCAACAGCCTGTATTTAATGCTCGCTGTCACGTTTTTCAGTTGATAGGAGCTATAAAATCCAAATTTGGGCAAACGGGAAGAAGCCAAGTTGGGGCAAGCAAGCAGCAACGACGGCTGGATGTGATAGATTGAGAGTTCTGCTTTAGTCATATTATATACTTAAATATACTTAAAGGTTCAGTGTGTAAGTTTTAGTGTCATCTAGTGGTGAGGGTTGTGAATTGCAACCAGCAGTTCACGGTGCATTCACTTGCTCCTCGGATGGTCCCATTTTTCCGAGTTGTGAAATCGTTCTGACTTCAGTGCTCTTGAGTCGGAATGTTGAATCAACATGGACGCTACTACAAAGATGTGTTGGATTAGCATTATCAGAGCATATAAACAACATGCAGACATCTAGTTTACTCTACATGGACAGCAAACTAACCGTTTTAACATATTTCAACTTACAAGTTTGCAAAATATGTATATACAATTTGTGATTTTTCATGATTCAAAGTTCTGTATACTTCTTTAAGTCCCATGTACACTTTATTTCTCTTATTGCAATAAAGATTTAAGGAGAAAAAAGATTCAGATTATTCCCGACATCACATGAATGCACCATCCATCACCGTTCATCCCTCCCGATCCAAGCACGCAGGACAAGCTATGGTGGCCTGAAACGCTCTGTCGGCTGTTGTGCTAAATAATACTTGTGGTCCTCCATTTGTCCAAATGTCTCTTCTTTTCCTACTTCTAATGATGTTGTTGTTGTTGTTGACGAAATGCAGTCTGTATTATGCAACATGGCGACTTCCATGTAAGGAAACTCGTGGTGTGTGTAGATAGAAATGGCTCATTCTAAGGTAATAAAAACAGAACAGTTCATTATGTAAGGTCTTTATACACCATGGAAAACGTAGTTAGGGATACTATATTGCATTTGTGTCAATAGATCATCCAAAATATCACAAACTGAACCTTTAATAAACTGATACTTAGAAATTTGCTAATAAAATACGCCTTACTTGAACTTAACAAAGGAGTTCCCAACAGTGATTGACAGTTTCAGGTTTCCCTCTCGAAAAGGATACTTCTTCTGAATTTAGTTAGAACCAGCATCTAGGGGTCACTTGTGGAACTGTAGGGTGAATAGCCTTCATTGATGCTTGGGTCCACTGAAAAGTCCACTTGTTTGGCTGAGTATCTCTATTATTTACCACAGTGATAAGAGCAAACGAAGGACGAAAACAGTGAAGAAGACATGTGAGCCCAAGTGGAACCAGACATTCGTCTACACCCATGTCCATCGCAGAGATTTCCGCAACCACATGCTGGAGCTGACTATATGGGACCAACCGAGGTCACCAGAGGAGGACAGCACCTTTATGGGAGAGGTACCACACACACACACACACACACACACACACACACAGTGCATCATGTGATAGTCTACAATTTTTAACATAAAGGTTGCCATGTGATGTATTGTACCAGAGTTAGCTTAAAGCTAATTTTCATCTTCAGTCCCTTGGCTAACAATTAAAACATTCACACAGTGTCGGATCTGCACTGCACTAAACAAACAGCACACATTATACAAAGTTAGACACAGTAGTACATCACACACCCACCATGTCAGCAACAAGTGGATGTCACACAACCATCCCTAGATAAGATTTAATTTTCAAGTTACTTCATGCTGTCACACTATTTTCTCATGATTGCAATGTGTTTGTCGCACAAACTGGGTATAATGCGCTTTTTACTCTTCATGGTTTTATCATCATGGAGCTATTTCTCTCATACCTTATACATGCCACTATAAAAAATGCAAGACAATACAGTCCTGAAAGTTAATGCCTGAGTTCATCATCAGATTTCCACACAGTTAAAAAAGTGCGTGTCCTGTAAGCCCACTGTATGCTACAGTACCTGCTGAGCACAGACAGACAAAGTTAGACACTTGCTGATGAACACATTGGAGCATGTATCAGGTAAAGAGCCAGAAGTTTTGGCTCAGAAATCAATCAGTTGCAGTTTATCAATAGGCAGTCATGAACAGCAGTAAAACATTTAACTGCTATGTGGATTATGACTTGAGCAGATCCTAATAGAGCTGGAGACGGCGTTACTGGATGACAAGCCTCACTGGTATCCTCTCCAAACCCATGATATCTCATCCATACCGCTGCCCCGACCCTCCCCATACCTGCCCCGACGACACACAGACACCCCTGGCAAGAAGCTGCAGCGTAAGTCTGATTCTGTGAATGCCTTTAATTGTGTCTATTTATGTCAAAACTCTGTCGTATCCTCTGTGTGTGAATGTGCGTGCATGCATCACTTTGTAAGAGAGAGACAGTTGTGTATGGTTTACTATCAATGAACACATAAATAAACATGTATGCCAATGTAAATGTCTGTTTTTGCTACCCTACCCTAATACTGCTTTTGTGTCTGGATACGTGCATGCGTATAAGTGTGTGTGGTGGACATACACATCTATGTGTGTCTGTGTTTGTGTCTATGACTGTTTAGGTTCTCAGCGTGTAACAGAGCCTGAATTTGATGAGGGTACAGCAGTAATGTCTAAAGGTGGGTGGGGATTGTTTCCTAGTATTAAATGCAGTGTTTCCCAACAAATGTGTATTTTTATTTGTGGTGTTTTGTGGGTCACTTAGCTGAACCAGGTGTTTGCATTAATTAACAGCAATGTTAAATGTTAAAAACAATTGTTTTCTATAATTTTGTGCCTCCATAGACGACACCAGCTGACAGACACTAAAGAAAGGCTACATTTAGATTTGGAATGTTTTATTGTATTGAAATGAACCTGATGAAAGGATGACTTTTAATGTAAATGGACCAAGAAGACTTCATATAACATAATTGTTCTTTTTAAGTTATCTGTTGTTGTAAATCTTTCTGAGAGATGCTAACATTCGCTGCAAATTATTAATTAAAAAGTTATTATAGTATGACAAGCCACCACATATAAATCATGTGTATGGGAAACACTCAAATAGTGTATAATATAGTCTATAACAATAATGTCATAGACTATATGTTAGCATGGGGCGGAGGCCATTCAGGCTCCATGCAGCCCTGAAATGGGTCTCATCCAAAGATGAGAAGATGTTAATTTTGTAACTATTAGCAAATTAAAAGATGACATTTATGATGAAACGCTGCTTTTTGTTTGTATGTGTGGACTGTAGATGTATGTGTTTTCTCTGTATGTTAGGGTTGGACTGGTTAATGGATTTGTTATTTGATATGGGGTATCTGGTGGATGGATTACATTTTTTGTGATGATAAGCCCTTAGGATATTCTAAATTGTAAAAATCTGAATTAATTATCTAACATTTTGATCACATACTATAAATTTCCAGGCTTTAACACCAGAATATAATTTCACCATGGCAAGTAATGTGTGGTGTGAATACCCGTGTATCTAAATTTATTTCATATCAAAGTGAAAAACATAATCATCCTGGCTTTCAATATAAAATTTTGATGCCTTGTTGGCTCTTTCAGACACATTGTACCCTGAGAATAGAATACCGGTGGAAACACTAAATATTTAAAAATAATGGAATTTGTTTATGGGTTAGGGTTAAATTAGTCTAATTCAGCAATACTGACTATCAACTCATAGCTTCACCTTCCATCAAAAATATCAGCTATATCAGTCAACCCCTACTGTGTATCTGTGGTGCTTGTTAATGAGTACTTAAGTTTAAAAAGGCGACAGAAGGAATGCAAAAATACACCACAATACTCAGACCAACTTTTTGCTTTAATTTCTATGCATGGAAGGAAGAAATGAAAAACCTTGGTAGCACTTTCCAAAGCTAAACTAATGACCCACTGTGAGCTTTGAGGTGCTTTTCTCTTGGAAATGAAACCAGTGACCTTGGGACCACAACAAAGCCTGACACATTTTCACAGATCCCTTCAAGGCTGATCAGTCTTTATCAGTTTATATTTTTATCTTCAGGGATAGTTCTACTACACCACCAAAGAAAACACATTTAAAAAAAAATACAGGACACAGTAGTGAAAAATAGCCAGATGCAGTTCTAATATTAGGCTAATCTTTAAATAGTCTGTATCCTTGTGGCTGATTGTCCTGATGTAGTTGCCATACAATATGTTCAGTGGCATCAGGCTCCAACAAAGATGTTAGCATCATGGACTGTGTAAAAGAAAAGAAAAAAGAAAATAGCGAGTTTCAAGTCTTCATTTAGGAAATTATGGTACCATTTAGAGGAAATAGACGATAAAGCAGGGGATGCTTTTAGGGCGTGGCTACCACAGTGACCTGTTAATCGTAACCCTCCCCCTCGTCCAAATATGGTCACTTCTGGCTCCAAAAAACCAAGATGGCGATTGTTAAAATACCAAACTTGAGGCATCAAAAGCACAAATTGATGGATGACGTCATCAAAAATAAAATCTATGTACACTCTGTTGAGAGTAGTAAACATTGTGCTAATACTTTGAAATTATAGGCTGACGTGTGTGATATTAAGCCATTAGCATGATCTCTGGGCAAACCAAACCCTGCGGGGAAATGACGGACTCCATTATCAATAAACATATTATCAATATTATCAATAAAAACTTCTAGATGGAGACATAACTACTGAATGAAATACTCTTAATGACTAGCTCAAGATTTATAATTTTCTGATGCATTTGGGTGTCTGGATAAAGCTAATTCATATTCTGCAGTGTGGCTAAAGCATGTATAATTGTAGGGGTTATATGTTTCACTTCACTGTAAATCAACTGTGGATCAGGGCTTTATTAAGGGCACTTATCCACATTTAAGTATATTTTTAAATGTGTCTGCATGTGCACTGCCATTCCCGCCCAGCAGCAGATGGGCGTGGCAGGGAGAGGCAGCGAGAGCCCACGTCTACCCTGGAGGTGCCAGAGCAGCAGAGGATGCCAACCCATCACATACGTTCCCGCTCGGTGTCCCCGCACCGCGAGGAGCAGGGACGAATCCGGTCACGGCCACCCAACGTTCCCACTCAGAGGTGAGGGTTAATGGATGAGACAAGAGTTTGGTTCAAAGGAAAGCAAAAAATGCCAGATATGAAATGTTATGAGACATCAAGCAGTTTGATGAAAAACTGGACTAGGGATATAAAGTGATACACTGAAACACTGCACTGTAAGCTTAAAAAAGGCTGTAAAACATTTATAAATTTACGCTTCATGGACAGTGGAGGCTATGGTCAGCTTTACAGTAGTTGCAATGAATTCCAACGCTGACACATTTTTGCATACATATTCCACTTTGCTTGCTGCCCATTGTATATTTAGTATGCTACAAATGGTCATATTTTATCCAAAATATGGCTTAATACATTGTTTTGGACTCAGTGTAGCTCACTCCCTTGACTCAGTTAGGATTGAGATGGAAGGCCTTATGCAATTTATAATCATTAACTGGTGGGCGGCATGGCCTGATGATGGATACTAATAAAGGACCGATATGAGCCAGGTGAGTAGAAATTGACACTTGGAAGAGGTAAAAGCAGCCTGGTAGAGGGAGAGAGGGTTTGTTGGAAGACAGCAAACAGAGTCCATCTACTAATGAAATGTCTGATGCAGAACACACAGTGCTGCCAGCTCTGCTTTTACTGGCCGAGCCAAATGAGCCCCGCCAAGAGTCTGCTGCAATACTGCCCGACCACTAACCTGACGTAAGTCTTTCTTTCCTTCCTTCCTTCCTTTCTTTCTTTCCTTTCTTTCAGGAGTCTGGATGATGAGCTTCCTCACACCCGTCGTTCTCGTTCTCCGACCCGCCACTACGATGCTGCCAGAGGTCGCCACCAGGAGGAGTACCTGGATGACAGGTTTGTGTTGGTGTGCGAGTAATGTTTGATATATATCTTAATCAGACAAAATGTCATCAGAGTTGTTTTTAGTGTTTGTCAAAATAAATTGTCTCTAAATGTCTGCTTTTTTGTGTTTGACATTGACCGCTAATTTGTGTGGGCAGTTGGTATAACAGATGTGCTGAAACTTTATTTTATCAAACAGGTTCAATTATTTTCTGACCATTATCATTTTTCTTCATTCTTTGCAAGGCTGTTTTCTTTGGGCCTCGAGCCAAGTTTGGTTCAGCCGCTATGTGTTGTCATTGACGGACATTGTATAAAGTGACTTTTGAGGAGTGTTTAGACAAAACGGGCTTGGTTGCACAAATCGGTGGCATTTCTGAGTGCGTGTCTCATGTGTGTATAGCTATCAGCAACAGCTTCTCTTTCCAATTCACCCTCTTCTCCCTCTGCTCTTCTGGTTTTTTGACTGTTGTTGATTTCCTCATGTGTCATCCATCCCCATGGTAACCACAGTGAGGTCATCATGATCCACCAGTCAATGCGAGGCAAAAGTGCTGAGTGCCTCCACACCAGGTAAACTGGCCAATCACAACATTATTATTTACATTTTAGTGCTGGATCAGTTGTCGGTTTATGTACGTAGTGTTTTTTTTATCAGATTGTTTCTCTCTACAGTTGTTTAATCCATAACTAAACACTAGGGGTGTGACGACATCTCGCGCCACGAGATCTCGCGAGATTGGAGAATGACAATATTTCTTGTCGGGTAGAAAGCTGTCTCGCGAGACTCATGCAAATTACATTTTTCACACGCTGTAAAGCCACTCTTTAATTTTCTCACCAATGAAATACAAATGTAGTATAACTGATAAGATAGACTCATGGAGTGATTCAACTCCATGTGTCAGAGAACACAGATATGTGGGAGAGATTCTGAATGTGCAGAAAGTTTTGAACATGAGTAGAAAATCTGCTGAAACACAGGAGCTATTAAAGTCCAGGAATTTATAATTACATTAAAATTAAATAATTTATCATTGAGTTGAAAAGGTGCCACAGTCACATTTAAAGAGTTTATTTCCTCAAACAAAAACAAAGAGGATGGAAGACTAAATCATGAATCAGCAGGGATGATATTACAGGAGAAAAGTTGTTCTACAGGAGAAACAGATCTGAAAGCAACACAGAATGACTGAGAGCTGCACTCACTTATATTCTGTTACAGTTAGACTATAAAGTTTCAATCGTCACCTGCCACCTGAATTTTGTGTTTCTCAGTATATACTATATATTTTAAAAATCACCAAAATGCTATAAATTAAGTGTTTAATGCTCAAAATTTTCAAATAATTCATTATTTTAGATCTCTTAAAAATAGCTAAAGCTAAATAGTTAAAATCTCGTCTCGATCTCATGAACCCGTCTCGTCTCGTCTCGTAAGTTAAGAGTCTCGTCACACCCCTACTGAACACTTTTTTTTAGAAAGTGGTGAAAGAGAATATATCCCACTGAAATCTAGGCTCTTTTACTTTGTTGGAAAAGTAATTTGTGTGTCATTTTAAGTATAACTGTGAACTGGACTTCAAAGACAAGGCAGGCGATAGTCTATAGTTTTGTTATTGTCAACAAATCCTATGAAAAAATACCAACAATGTCTTGATTGTCCATCTCACGACTTCCCTGACCCCTCTCTGTGGTGCTCAACCCCAAGCCCATGTGTTTGGTAACAAGTAAATCTTTAAAAACTGGTCAGGAATAGTTAAAGTTACATGTTTTATTGTCAATTTTAGTAAATGTTTCCTCAAACAAGAGAAAATGGTGCATTTGTTGGAATTTTCAGCTGTGGAATAATAAACATTTGGTGCTTTAGTGAGTATTTGGGGCATCAAGATGTGAGTGGGACTGTGTCAAATAAGCTCCAGTATGTGTGTTCATGGTTGTGAAAGAACATGTGTATCAGGCTTTAGCTACACACATAAAACTTCTTGGTTTTGGTCTTTTCATGGGAGTTGTTGGCAGTAAGAGAAATACAGACTACGATCACTGACTTGCCATGGCAATGAATTGTCATTTTCCGCATAATTCTGGGTAATGTGGGCAGCCAAGAACGTAGCAGGTGGGGAATAAGTTAAGAAGAAGAGGTGTGCACTGTCATTTTAAAATAATTTAAGTATTTTGGTGGAAAATTAAATGTATTAAGAGGTCAGATTGAGGAAAGGAAGCTAAAGAGCTTGTTATTTAGTTGCATTGCCGCATCACATCCACAAGAGGACACTACAGGACCATGCTCACATTCAGACTATGCTTCAGTCTTAGCATTTTGATATTTTTCAACCAGGCCAACAGCAAGACTTGCTAGAGCTCGTTTTATTACAAGGACCCATAAGTATTTAATTCAGTATACCAATTGATTAAAACGATTACGAGCTTCTTGTCTCTGCACTCAGTTCACATATCCCAATGCAGTTTGAGACACCAGACTACTGTCACTTAACATTTGCGTTATCACATACTGTAGTTACCAGCATGAGGGTTTTAGATATAGATAGACACTGCTAAAAAGGTAAGTTACAAGGTTTAGAACACATCTGTATGTATGCTTCACCTTATACAACCATACCTCTTTGAAACATTATAAGCTAGTAACTTTTCTTGTTTGTACTGTCTATACACACAGATGTGTTTGGGGGAGGAGGGTGTTTTTAGTCAGTAGAGATTAGAGCCAGCTTATGATGCTTGTATGCCTGTCATGCAGTGCTGTAGTTCTACTTGCTTACACTGCAAAAACCTACACGCTTAGCCAGTGATTATTGCAAGTAATGCACTGTTTGGAAACATGTCAGATGACAATATGACTGTTGTGAAGAAATAACCCACGGTCTTGAAACATGAAACTTACCTTTCTTTTCCAAGTAAATGTTTTGATGCAAACATGGAATAAATAAGCTGGTGAGCCAAACCTTTTTGGACATCATATCTTCAAAGAAGCCTAATGACATACTTCATAGTATGACATACTTCATAGTACACAAAATCACTGGATAAGTTGGCACATTTGACCTATAAAACTTCACGTCTGTTCCTACACATTTGGGTTTTTTGTACTCCTCTCCCACCCATTCCTTCCTTTTTCCTACATCTGTCTGCTGCATGCATGCTAACTTTAGGAGATCTACTAGGCACAATAACACACTGCCACCTAAGATGCCACTTTTGTTCAACGGAATCCTCAAACACACAAACAGGTAAGTCCACAGTATGGGTTTAGTATGCTTCCAACGAACAAAGTGTTTATACCTGGAAGTGTATTTACTCATTCAGTATTCCTGTTTCTAAAGTTCCTTTAAACAATATCTCTCCCAGAAAATGTAACCGTCCTATAGGTTTATATAATGGATAACAGTTTCAATTATTTCAACTTAATTTCTGATAAAGTGATGTGAAGAGCGGAAGCTCTTGTATTAAGGAAGAATCCAGTAAGAGGGAAGCAGAGCTGTAGCAAATTCAAAACACTTCTTCTTTGCATTTGGGAACAAACACGGTGCCATATTTGCTGAATTCATCCAAAAGTTATTGCAGATTGTATTACAATCTTTTGCTTCAGCCCTTTGTTGTCAATATGCAATATGTAACACATTTTTAAGCTTGGTGATTGGAAGCTTCTTGCTGAAATGCACTTTAGGAGGAAAAGTATGTTTCAACCCTGAAGTTTTTATGTACGCAGGCTGGTGCGTTCAAACAACCATATATTTTCTGATGTGAACAGGTGTTAATCTTTCGTACTATTGATTCAACTGGGAGAGTTTCATGGCCATCGTCATGGCCTCTCCATGCCTGCATCACACTGACTCCTCCAAGAATTCTGTGTTTTTGCGTGCCTTTGTAGTCTTGACACAGTACTTTGTTGGAAGCATACTCAGGCCTTTAGACATTTGGCAGTGTGAATTTTTCTCAACCTGTGGAGAAGCACATACTCCTTTTATCATAGTAAATCTTAATAATCTCCAACATTATAGTTAGGACATGTGCCCAACTGTACATATTTATAGTAGAAGAAGACACACAAGCATGCAATCTCCATTAGCCTGCGGACTTCCTTTTATGTGAGTATTTTCTCTAGCAGCAGGAGCTTCACAGCTTTGTTTCCAATCTGATATGAGCTCTCTTTCTTTCATTTTGTTTTGTTCGCAAATGCATGCTGTTTTTGAAATTGTCATCTTGTGACTAGTTCCACGCTGCCTGCATGTCGAAAGATAGGCTCTGTTCTGGGATCGCACATGGTCATGGCATCGCGCTGCTCCATCACACACCGCGTTGTAATGTTCACAGATGAGGTGACAGTTAGGTAAGATACACACATACATGCGCTTAGGTTTTTATGATTAAACATGTGAGTTGTGCCAGGTTGGCAGAATAGTGCAAAGAGCAATCCACCATACCCCATCTGCATGACAATCATGAAAAGTTACAGACACTCCCATCCTTACGCCTGCCAGCCAGTCATGGTTTAGTTCTGACTAGCATTATGATTTGGGGAATCTTACCAGACTTATTTTTAAAACATTTTTTCTGTTTGTCCATTGTTTTTCTCTTTGTGTTTGTTTCTGTCCTCTCCTCCTGTCTCCTCCATTGGATGGCATGTTGTGCTGTGTTGCCTCTAGTGATCTGCAGCCTTCTCTGGACAGGGTTAGGAGCGCTAGTGCCAACTGTCTGACTCCAGACAATCATGCCCCCTCACAAGAGACTGAAAGGTACCAGCCTCTGTCCCCACCACCCCTCCTGTAGTGCTTCAGTAGTCTCTTATCCTCTATCTTATCCTTGTCCTGGTCTATGTAGTTCTTTCCCTTCTGAATGGTCCTACACTACCTCACTCTACCCAGACCCCAATGCTATATACCACGCTACTCTTCCTGATGTTCCACACAGCAGCTTCCCTTTTTTTTGCCACAATCCTTAAATTGTATATGAAGGTGCACCAGTTTTCTAAAACTAAAACTATTATGAGTAATACTTTCATTTGTTGAATTTTAGTTCTAGAAAGAAATTGCCAAATGTCATGGCTCTGAAGTATCACTATCTAAATACGTTCATTGACCTATCGGCACCCTGAGTACAGAATCGGTGTACCTCTTCTTGTAAACCTCACCACCTTACCTTAATTACTGTAAGATGAATCACTTCTCCAGCCAACCTACTTTACACTCTTAGCTTCACACAGTCCAGTCTTCAGTAGAATTAATCCTTCAATCACTCCTACGTCTCATTCACTCCTTAGTGACACTAGCATAACCTTTTCCAGTCACCAAGGACTGTTTATTAAGAAATGCAAGACCACCTGTACTGCTTGAGCCAAAGAGATTTCTGAAGCCAGTGCTGCTTTCTTGGTCAATCATAACAACTTTGAAGGATGTTTTCAAATTTATTCATGTCTATTTTATTACAATACTCACATGCCATATGTATGTTGAAAGGGGTTGTGGGTCGCTGTAATCATTCATCCTGTCCATACTGGCTGTGAAGCGATACCTTTTTGGTGTGACTACACTGTAAAAGATAAGGGTGGGTATCTTCATCCTGGAAGTCACATGTTTAATGTTGGTGCTTTGTTCCGGCAACACAAATGTACATGTGACTGCCAGGTCATTGGTGATTGTTACTGGCTCAAGAAGACTTAAAAATTGATCTAAAATTAGGGGAATATTAGACTTTTATTCACTGGGTGGCCAGAAACACAACTACTAATTAAAGCTCACCCTATCGACTTTATCAAGGGATTGTATGTCAATGGCCCAATCCCTAACTCCACACTCAAGGACTCACGGACTTTAAGGACTTTGATTGTCAAGTGCATTAGGGCTTTCTCACTCTTTGAGCCCTTTATGTACACTTTCCATAAGTCTGCATTTCTGCAGACGTGTGATGTTAAACACAGGGTTACCAGGGGAAGCCTGGAGGTGTAATAAAAGGTAAACAAACATGGAAAGACCAAATACAAGAAAAGGGAAGTTTACATGTAAGTGTTGCTGTTTTGTTAAAAACAAGTAAATTTATTATTTGAAAATTATCTCTCGTCCACTCTGTCTTCTAATCAGACAGTTCCATTAACCTTGGCTATGAAGGAAGTAAAAAACTTAAAATAAAACATGTACATTGTACATTACATGTTATGGCGTCTTCCAGGTAACGTGATATGGCGCAAAGTCCCATTATCCCAGTTCGGGTCCTTTCGGGCAGGTTCTTGTGCTCAAGCACTTACCAGGTGATATCAACTAAATCTGTGAGGGTTCAGGGTTTAAGGCTTCAGAGTGGAGATTGGGATTGGGCCCAAGTTGTCTTTGCAGCCTGTTTGCTGCCCTCAAATGGCCAAAAAATACTTGTAGCCATGGCACGCACAAAGATAGTCATGCACAAATAGGCACAAATAGCAGGGCTCTCTGATTTTGTAATCACTTGCTTATCTGGTCATATGGGTGATATATTTTGTATGTGTACACATAGAAAATCTTTGTCCCATTCCTTGCCCCGGAGACGTCCGGCAAGTCCCAGGATTCTTATCCAACATGCTTCCCCTGAAGATGACAGGTACCCTTCTGTGGACCCCTGACCGCTTCATCTTAGAGCTTGACTTATGCCTTAATATCTGATGCTATTATGACCTAAACCCTAAATTTTCAAAAGCAAATCACCACCCAATATGTCACCAAGATTTTTTTCAGTAATGGATGGAACACATTTTCTAAAACCTCACTGAAATCCTCTGGGTTCAGTGTGGTCTAATTGGGTTCAGGCAAATGTCAAGCTCTACCTCATATGTGCAGCTAACACTAATCTCTTTACTGAGTTCTGAAATCTCTGTGATTAGCTGGTAGTGACATTGTAACCTAGTCTGATAAAAGTGCAGTGAGTTACTTTATCTTGTATCATATAAAACTATGATTCAACTTATTTTAACCAAATTTAGTGCAGAGGGAAAGTGGCATATTTTCAAATGTATGTATGTTCAAATGTGTAGAAAATAGTTCAGAATTTTTCATACTTGCTGAGAGTTAGACGAGAAGATCAGCACTAGTCATATTTGTTGTTAAATATGAAGTTACAGCCAGGAGGCAGTTACGCCTAAAGTCCATTGACTCCGGCTACAGCGCCTTACTGCTGCGCCGCAGTTGCCAGAACTAATTGCGGCCGTTCTAGTCAATGGTTGTGAGTCCATGAGACGCGGCTGCAGCGCATCCCAGAAGCTTCAAAGAAACTTCCAAGAAGCGGCTCCCCACTCCGCTTTGCAGAGAATAGGTAGCCAGTCTATTTTTGACAGCAGCCATGTCAAGCAGCACAGAGCAGGTTGAACCGGGCCGGAAGTCAGACACAGAAAAGCATAGAGAATCCAGTCAAAATAAAAAACACCCTGTGGAGACTCACGTGCTGTGACGAAGGTAGAAGCACAAAAAGGAAAAATTCATTACAAGTCAATAACGTGAGGCAGGCTGCACGCTCCGCTGCTAAAACGCTTCCAGTGGACTTTGACACCGGGGTGAGCACGGAGCAAAAAACGTGGCGTAGCGTAGCCGGAGTCAGTGGACTTTTGGAGTTAGCTTAGCATAACGACTCGAACCGACTCGGAGTCAGTGGACTTTGGAGTTAGCTTAGCATAACGACTCGAAACGGGGGGGAAACAGCTAGCCTCGCTCTCTACAAAGACATGGATTAACAAATAAAACATAACCTGTAAATCAGTGAGCTTTAGAGGTACTGTAAGGCTGCTTCTGTTACCTGGATCATTGCCAGCTTACCTGTTTCCCCATATTTCACATTTTTATGCTAGGCTATGATATTGTTTCCTGGCTTTAGCTTCATATTTAGCGAGAGTGATATCATCACAATCGCTTGACAAAAATGTAAATAAGACATTTCCCAAGATATCGAATTACCATAAACTTGCCTATAACAGGAATTGTTATTTTTTGAAAACAACAATATTTGTAGTTGTATTTTATTTGAACAAATACAAGATAAAATGACAAGCTATTTTGCAATTTAGCTTCCTGTTGCTAACCTTAATCTCCTGGTTTGTGGTCAATGAGCTGGACGCAGTGAGAGTGAACATGATTTACAATGTACAACTTGTCAAAATAAAAGTCAGAATGTCCCATGGACAAGTTCTACTTTGTTTCATACTTTGTCACTCACATTGTGTAAAGGGTTGCTTGTATGGTTTTTCAGCTTGTGAATGGCGTTTTTCTGGTTTGTAATTTGTTGCCAAGAGTTGTAGCGATAGTTTTCGTCCCTGGTTGTGGTTGTTGTTGTCATATTTTTGTCCTGTTGCTTTTCTGTCCTTCCTTCGCCTTTATGGGCCAGGTTTGTGCTCTTCTGACCTGATGGTAGATTGTACTGGTTATGGTGTGAAATCTTGCCGTATTGAGTTTGCTTCCTGCAGTCTTTCCGAGTGCACTTTTTGTTTGGGGAATTGCATCTGCAGCTTCTGTGTGCTCACCCTCTCCTCTCAATCTTTAAGCAGTCTCTTTTTCAAGGTTTAGTGCTCAGCAATGACTTATAATTCATGATGGCCATAATTCATACCAGAAGTGTGACTGTGTGTTTGTGTGTATGTGTGTGGCGGTACATGTATCATCCTTGTCATCTTCATGTCCATGAATGGAGAATATGGATGCTACTTCCTACTCAAGAGACTTTAATTCACCTCAGTACAAAGACGAGGTACACACACACTTACATGCACACACATACACAGGCACAGATGAAGCACCATATTCATGACCATCATACCATCCATCACAGCATACCTCCAATTTCCTGTTTTCCACATCATAAACTTATAAGGCCAATGACAGTTCCCTGACAGAGTCAGACTCTTCTAAATCTAAATGATGTATCCTCCATCATGCTCTCTTTCATCCTTTCATCCATCCATCCATCTTTTTTTTCTTTTGTGTATTGTTCCTTTTGCTCATCCACCATTCTCCAGGCAGCCTCGGACCCTGAAGACACCTGAATGTCAGACTCTTGGCAGGAAGCTCTCTGACAGTTGCAGGTAAGGCATGTACTGTAGTCTCAGCACATGTCGAACTGTAGTGTATGAGGTCATTGACTGGAAGAGCTTGAAATCACACAACCAACTTAAGAAATCTTTAGAAATCCTTTTAAATCCCAGCCAGTTTGGAAGTTAGTCTTGAGCCCAGTTTGGACAATGTTAACATTACAGGGGGAGGCAGGGAATTAAATGCACTGTGCACCTCAGTAATTTAACTCATTGTATTATATTATAACTATAGTGAAATTACAAGATTTATAATACACGAACATTCCGCAGGACGAAGCCAAGAGCCTTAAAATGTGAGACAAGTTAGGTGAATTTGAGTCACACATATTGATATAATTCAGTGTTACTTACATTTCCTGAGGATATAATTGTCGTTGATGTTCATCACAAATAAACATGTTGGTGCTAACATGTTTCCTTCTTAGAGATTAGGAAAATATTTCTGACCCCATTTTCACACACAATTCAACTTTTACACTAACCTAATTAAATAATAAATTAAGTAGAAGGACTAGTAGCTCTTCACACGGAAAATACAAGGATATCACTTTCTTCAAATCACCCAACCTCCCATGGAGAAATAAATCTAGTCTGAATAGGGCTTTAGATTACAGCAGGGATTCTGAATATTTTCCTCTTATGGCTCTTCATATAGACATACATAGGGCTGGACTGGGACAAAAAATCGCCCCCGGCATTTTTGGCCCAGGCGGCCCACCAGAATCGGTCGGACACCCCTCACCAACACACCATCCTTCCATATAAATGTGTACCTACTGCGATATTCCCCCAAACCAGCTGAGTGGTACGTGCAAGTGAATCAGTGTCCTCATTCGCCTACAAGTCATTTTCACAGCAGCGTGGGATTAGCCAACAACACATTAGACAAAATAACCTCACCTAGTCAGCCATAAGGACAGTTAGCCAAAGTTAAGACTGCATCAGGAAACTATGGTAGCTACAAAAAGAGTGTCTAATAGCGTATGCAGCGCTGTTTGACAGTGACATGGCACACACCCTACCCAAGGACATCACTTTGTGTTGAAAAGTGTTGGGGACATTTAAGGGCTCAGATTAGGGGTGTGCCCATGAGACGTGATATTGCACAAGATCGAAGCCATGAGAAGAAGACAAGAATACATTTTAATAGTATTTAGAAAAAATATTTATTGATGAAATATAGGATTGGGGGGCCTGGGAGTTTCTCCCCCAGAAGATTCTGTGCATTGAAACACTTAATTTCCTGCATTCTGGAGACATTTTCTACACCAATTTATGGAGGAAATATCTTTATTTATATAGGGCGAAACACGAAATTCAGCCCTGTTGGCCCTATCACAGCCACTTTGTCCCTCTGCTTCGCTGTCTCACCTCCTCCTCTGCCTGGCATTGGCCACGGCTCTCCTTCACTCCTTCAAGTGCCTGTGCCTGCACTACGTCGGGTACTGCAGCTGATGTTGAAGCTACTGCAGCTCCGATAGCAAACATATCAGTTATTTTCATTTGGCGGCAGCCATCTGAAGATTATTTTTTTTGGCCTGCAACGCAAGAGTCCACAGGGGGAGGGGCCAGTAAGAGATATGATTGGGCCAGCCCAGTGTCAGTATAGAAAATGACCCTGTCTGTGCTCTATGGGCCATTGGCCCAGTTTTTAAACAGTTATAAATATAAATAAATAAATAATTTACGTTACACCAGCCCCAAAGGTGCGTTGGCCAGATTACCAATTCACTATCAGTCATAAACTAAAGAAAAGTCAAAGATTCTTACAATTCATCTTGTGGAGGACATGAATTTCTGTACCAAATTGAAGTACCAGAGTTGTTGAGACATTTCACTTAAAATCACACCTCATGGTGGTACTTGAGGAGAAGTCAGGGGATCACTAAACCACTACGTAGCTTATTCCTAACATTGCACTTCAAAATATACACAAGTATGTACATGTACTTTTTAGGAGACATGATTGGATGTTTTGATACTGGTCTTTTAATAGCTCTATAATCAGGAATGTTAACTATACATTGGACAAATTAAGGTTAATGCTACCTGCAAGCAAGAGGTTTTGCTAATGTTTCATTTAACTTGATTTGGACTTTATTTATTTGTATTCTGTTGCTTTTTCTTCCGTCCTCCATTTTTCCTCAACCCCATCTTTCTTCCCGTTTTTGTTCCTGCATGCTGCTGCTCGCACACTGTGTTGCGGGGCTTTGGGTTTGTATTGTACTCGTGTGTCGGTGCATATTTGTGTGTGTGTGTGTACAAGAATGAAACCCACCTCCATCTTAAGGGGCTCCAAAGGAAAGAAGGCCCCACTGCAGCCCCTTGGTAAGGGGATTCCCCTTGAATGAGTGTTCCCCCAGTGACACAGCTTGGCAGATCCCCTTTGATTTACTGTAGATACTGTAAGAGGAACAAGACAGGGCTGCTCTCTCGCTCCTTCATACTTTTACCTGCTGGTATATGTGTGTTTCTGTGACCTGCCATTGCCACATCACAGCTTCAGACGCTGCTGCTGTTCTGTGTTTGTGTAGTTTTTGTATATGTGATGTGTGAACACTCAAAGGTCGTTGTTTATCAGTGTAATTTTGCAATTTCTGAGCGGATGTGCTGTGTTAAGGTGTTAGGCCTGTTTTGGATATTTTGGTCTGTTTTAACATTCCTCAAGCAACATCTGAAAAATTTTATGGGGTAATTTGTAAAACACAAGGGTAAAGGGAAACTAATTATTACATTGTTAAATTATGTAGCATTAGTCATTTTATTATCTTGCCCTATTCTGACTGTAATGGCAGAGTCGATGCTCTGTTAAATGACAATTTTATACTTAAAATGAACAGTTTTCTCTTAGTATTTTTTAAGAATAGCCTAAGTCACTTGCTTCCGGCTCATGGGACCTTATTTCGGACAAAATATGTACGGCAATCAATGGCAACAGACCACTTATTTTTTTATCCTGTTTGAGTGGTGCCCTGAATTACACATATGATGTTTGTATAATTTAAAAGATAATTTAGTCCGTTAAGAAAAATCATCATCATGTGTGTAATTCAGAGCAAAATTCAAACGGGATAAAAAAACTTTTTGTCTCTTGCCATTGACTACCGTACATATTTTTTCCGAAGTAAGGAGGGACTTACGGTCTCTTAGGCTCTCTATTGATCTGATTGGAGCAACTTACCAAAACACACGACAAATTAATTATGGGTACTAAACAGTGAAATAGGAAACACAGGCTTTATGAATAAATAACTATGAATGAATGTCTGCAGGTATGGTGGGATTTGTGCTTGAAATCTTTCACCTTCTCTCTGTGTTTTTTCACTGTCTATTTGCTGCTCTTCCTGCAACAGGATCCCTCACTATCAACCCCTGAACAAGCTTCACTTTGTGAATATGTTGTTGCCACTGAGTTTTCACTAAAATATCGTTGCTGTTCGTTCATTTCCACAGCGGATGCTTTTTTCTATAGCCACATTCTGTCATATAATTTTTCATGCAATTTTATATTTGACGTTAGACATCTTAAGAAGAAATATGAAGCGACAGTGGGTTCCATTGGTTAATAGCTGTTTTTCTACTCAGTTTTGTTTTTCCCTCAGGTGAATTTGAACACTTGCAAAGTCAAAATGATACTGTGCGAACAGGCATGAAATGTGAACTCCGACCAGCAGGTGACTGGTGCTGCAGTGTACTCCCTGGATCACAAATATACTGACTTTATTTTCATTTTCTTTCTTTTTTTAATCCCCATTCTTTTCATCCTTGCTTTTGTTCATTCATTTTCTCTCCCCTCTCTTCTTAAACCCTCTCTCCCTCTCTCCCTTCCCCTGTCTGTTTTCCACTCTGTCTGCTTCACTATCATATTATTTTGTTAGGGGCCACCTCCAAGGTGGTTCGTCTCTTTCCTCCTCAGTGACATCCTCCTCAGCCCGCAGAGTAAGGCAACTTCCACAGCTTCCCCCTAAGAGCAGCACCGCAGAGCAAGGTATGTGCTGATGATCGTGTGTGTGCATGTAACACTGAATCATGTTTAAGTCTTGCCGAGGGATCATTTGTACATTTGTACTTTTACAAGGTATCCACCATGATTACTTGTTCCCTGTGCTGTACTGGCCTGATGCAATGCCATTCAGACAATAGTATTCTGCTGGTTGCCTTGCAACCTCACAGTGACGACAAGACTCCAGGAAGTCACTAGGCCCAGCCAAGAAATAGTCTGGCAAATAGCCACCTGTAAAACCACACGATGTAATTCTTTGTACGGATTAAACAATTATTATTATTAGGTTATTTTATTTGTAAGATTAAAAGGATGTTCAGTCAGTACTTACTTGTGCGGTTTTCTCAAATGATGGTGAGGGGTGGATTTTTTAAGTTTGAGAAAGGTTCATTACTCATACATGGTGGAAGGTGACATCAATGTTATCGTGTCCAGCTTGTTCAGGACTGCTGAGGCTTTACTTTCTTTTTTTTTTTTATCTTCTTTGTTTTTTTTACTGCAAATAGGATCAATTTACAGTGCAGTGTCTGATTGAATGGGAGTTTATTGAGTTTCTTGTATTTCACCTGTATGTGTGTGTGTGTGTGTGTGTGTGTGTGTGTGTGTGTGTGTGTAGCCCTGGTAGCAGAGGAGTGTGTTCGTCAGCTCCATATGAGGGTTCATTCCAACCGCGTTTCAGCTGCCACCACCTCCAGTCAACAGGACCTGGATCGGGCCCTGAAGAACAAACGGGAGGTGGGCCAGAACAATTTTTATTTATTTATTTATTTTTGGCTTCATTAAGCCTGACAGTTCACTTTAAAAACAAACCCCATCAGGAGATGGCAGGGGACAATAAGGGTTCCAGCCAGAGAGCATGAGCCACAATGTTGCTGAAGGGCATCACAGTGAATTGCATTTACTGTCTATGAAAGTAATACATTATGTTACCATAATGGTGAAGACCACTCAGTAAAATGAATTGGCTCCAATGGGGCAGTCACTCCAGAATGCACCAAATGCAGGAATACAGAATTGTATAATCCCTACTGGCTGAACCGACAGTTTAATGGCAATATGCTGACTTTCACACATGTCCGCATGCCAATAGTTAAACCTTTTTGAATGCAACATGCCATTGCTGTCTTTGTAATGCATTACACAGTTTAAATGAATGTGAAATGATTTCTGACAGTATTGCAGTAAGCTGTATTGTGACAACAATTAAAGGCCCTCCTCACCCTTGGAAAACCCACACAAGTATTTTCATGCATTTGCCTAATTAGATATATTTTGGAGGCTGTATGGGTGTGTACAGGCTGTGAATGATTAACATCTCCCCGAGTCTCCTCTAGGCCTTTTTCACAACAGATGTTTTAAATTGGCTTTGCAGGAAAAGCACAGGTGTGATTATTGACATTTATGATGGCTTAGTTCCAGTAGATATTGCAATAAGCCATGTCAGTGAATCAGTGTGCACAATACCAGGACCCTGGAGCTGGCACAAATATGACACCTGTACATTTCCTGCTGTGACATGCCAAAACCTCTGCCATGAAAAAGACTCTTTTTCCCCCCTGTTACACTGCGTGCACAATTATTAAGCAAGTAAGTATTCTGAATGAATAATTATTGCTTTACACATTTTCCAACTCCAAACTATGTATATTTGAATGCTCAATGGAGTTAAACATTTTCAGGTGAAATGTATTTGTGTAATGAGGGAGGGTGTGGGGAAAGTGAATGAGACCTTATATCAAGGTGTGCATGATTATTAGGCAGCTTTGTTACAAAGATTTAACTGACACTGAAAAGTCAAAAATTGGAAAATTCCATTCAGAAGGATGCAACACTCTTGATATAGCTAAACTTTTGAGGAGTGACCACCGGACAATCAAATGTTTTGTTGCTAATAGTCAACCAAGGCGCAAAAAGCCTATGGAGAAGAAAAGGCTCAAATTAACTGCAAAAGACTGGAGTAGAATTAAACGTGAAGCTACCAGGAACCCACTATCCTCCAGTGCCACCTTATTCCAGAACTGCATCCTACCTGGAGTGTCCAGAAGTCCAAGTGCTCAGAGACATGGTCAAGGTCAGGAAGGCTGAAAAACGACCAACATCGAATAAGAATCACAAGTCGAAGCATCAAGATTGGGAAAATAAATCTCATAAGAGAATTGAAGTGAGAGAGACTCTTGATGGACCAGATGGATGGGCCCGTGGCTGGGTCACTGATGGACACAGGACACCACTTTGACTCAGGTGCCAGCAAGGTGGGGGAGGAGTAAAGGAATGGGCTGCTATCATTAAGGATGAGATTGGACCTTTTCAGGTTGAAGACTGACAGTTTCTGGAAGATACTTTCTTCAATCAGTGGTACAGGAAGAAGCTAGCCAGCAAGGGCCTCAAAGATGCCCAAACAATGACTTGGCCCCTTTCCTCACCAGACTTGAATCCTATTGAGAAATGTGGTCCTTTCTCAAACGTCAGATTCACAGTCAGGGTAGATAATACACCTCTTTGAACAGCACTTGGGAGGCTATGATTTCTGCTTCAGTGAAAGATAAGTCAATAGTTTGTTGTTTTGTGTTGTTATACTTAAAAGATTGAGAATAAACAAGTAATTTGATAGAAATTATTTTGGTAATTTAGTTCCCTAATAATTCTGCACACTTATATATTCTCCTGAGCAAGACAAAACTCACTTTTCCTCAGTTAAACATTCAGGTTTGAGGTTCAATTTTATTTTGGATTGACTGAGACCGCTGTGTTTGTTCAACAAAAAATGAATCCTGAGAATTACAAATTGCTTAATAATTGTGCACGCAGAGTATGGTGGAAAAGTTATACCTTTATTATTCCAAGTGGCACATGGAGTTTGGTGTGGGTATGCAGGGCCTTTAAGCCTTAAGTAACTACTAAGCATTAAAAAACCGTTAGGGCACAGATTTTTCTCTCTCATTTTGCTCAAAGCTGAACAGCGATTTGGTTGAGTTAAGAGCATGGTCAATGGGCGCAGTGCAGTAGTGTGGCGTTGTGTGAGTTTATAAGGTTGTTTTTTTTTTTTTGCTGAAATAAAGTTGATGAGAGCACTGAACCAAAACAGAAAAGTTGCGCTTCATGAAACAAAACAACGAGCTGAAAGATACTGTAGTGCACTGTAGAGCTGAGGGGAACTGCAGAGTGATAATTGTCTCTGGGTTCTTCACAATGAGCGACCCTTCTCACATTACACAAATTATTTTTATTTGATCCATTGTTAGTAAGAAAAATATGGATTACTTCATCATTAACACCTGTCCTGATGTGTGTCCACTAACAACAAGGGGATAGTAGTGCTACCATTGGGGTTCGCCAAAGTCTGACATTTTCAAATTTTACACATAATGGCTTTAAAAAGTAACAACAGCAGGTGGAAAAGGGTTTCACTGCCATATGTGGTTGAAGGTTTCAAGTGTGTTGCTCTTCTTAACATTCTAATATCTATTTTGTGTGGTGTGTGTTTCCTGCAGCTCTACAAGGACCAGAGGAGGAGCAGTGAGAACGTTTCCCATAAGTCCTCAGACAGTGATGTCAGCGACGTGTCAGCCATCTCTCGAACCAGCAGTGCCTCTCGCATCAGTAGCACCAGCTACATGTCCATCCAGTCAGAGAGACCACGGGGACGCTTCAGGTAGACACACATACTTTTACTTTTTTGTGTATTATTGCCCATGTTTATATTTACCGTGTTTACAGTAAAGGAATTGATTGGCTTTGTAAAATGCGATGATGCAGCAGGGCCATTCGCGCAACGGGCCGTCACATGATGAAGAGTACCAGCGTGAGTGGGGAGATCTACGGCATGGAGCACACTGATGGCAGCCAGTCAGACACGGCGCTCGGGAGCCTGGGAAGCGGGATCAAGAAGCGGCGCTCCAGCCTCAGCCAACGTGTTGTCGCCATCCTGCCATCCAGACGCAGCCGAAGTACCTCGCAACTCAGCCAGACAGGTCAGAGAACAGTCTGACTGACAGTCGGACAAACCATCACACAAATACAGACAGAGAGAAAGGAAGAAACACACAGGAATAAACAGGATATGATACAGTAATAGCAGGTCTACTTATCCTAACAAGCCTAAACTACATGGCAGCACCAACCATACACCTTCACTGAATTTATGCTGCTGTTTGTATAATTTCATCAAAGAATCACCACCACAATAATTTTAAGACATGAGTGTAATTACTGTAAATACATAATATCTTTGCCAAGATGATTGGCAGCCTCTAATGGCATATAGTCTGTTTTACAATGTGTGGTAAATCATTCAGTCACTGTACGTAGAATTTTTGATTTGATGATTTTAAATCATTCTGATGGAGTACGTTTTTGTTCTTAGAAAAATGAGACCCAGGGGATAGTAGTGTCTTTTTCTTCCCATACTACAATCGGGGCGCACCAAAGTCTGACATTTTAAAAAGTAACAACAGCAGGGTTTCACTGCCGTATGTGGTTGAAAGTGTGTTGCACATCTGACCACACCAGCATCAATGATGGATGAGCTTGGGTGTGGTCAGTGGACATTAATGTCACAGTGTATAGTGCCATACTATGAGGTACACTTCTACATCACTGTATCAAGTTTAGAAACTGAATCACTGGAGATCAGCAAAAACAAGATTTTCTGCTGGTGTTAAAGTGCTCTTTCAGAAAATCTAAAACTGCCTGAAAACAGCTCGTTTGTAGTCGAGCCGCTTCTCTTTCATCCCTGTGACGACACAGAGGATGAAAGCCAAATGCTTCCAAACACTAGCTACCCTCCAGGCAGTCAGTGGACATAAAGTTGTTCCTGTGATGTAGAGACAGAGCTCAGTTAAAACTTTATGGATGAAAGATACTTTTGTTACAGATTAATAACTCACCACTCTGAAACTCTTGCTCCAGTCCATGTTGCCAAGCTGGTCGGCAACATGTACAGCTGAACCGAAGCTGTTTACCGGCTTCTCACTGACCTGCCCTTCTCTGCTTCTGATTGGCTAGTAGGAACTAGGAACTGTGCATGTGCAACTCCCAACAAAGATCATTTAGAGACAAGATGTATCACTCCATAGCTAAAACGAAGCCTTCAACACAGGGTGAAAAGAGGAGCTGCAGCAATGTGCAGTATGGCAAAAATATGGTGTTTTTTTTTAAATTAAACCATGTAAACTTGTTCTGGTACAACCCCTAAATAAGATTTTGAACCTGAAAATGAGCATAAAATAACCTCTTTAAGAGCTTAGATGTGAGAAGAAGGATTTTAAATTCTGTTCTGGATTTTACAGGAAACCAATGCAGAGAATATTTACATTGCTGAAAAGCTAAGATGTCCATTAATATGCACTGTCCCTTTCAAATAAATAAATAAATAGAAGCTAAGACAGAAGAAATATGATCTATTTTCCTGGTTCTTGTCAGAACATCAAGCAAGCACAACAACACAAGGCAAAGCAAGTCTACTTATAAGTTATTACTGACTATTCCAACAGCAGGAAGGCCAGCTTGGCATCTGTCTTGCATCCTTTCAGCTCCGTTAGCTCACGCCAACAAGTAAGCCAACGGTCTTTTCACAGCATCTGCCATGATATCCATACTGAGAATAATGAGCTAGCTTCTTCCAAAAAAAACTTACAGTATATACTTTTTGCTTCTTATAGCTTACTTGCTGAAGAGTCATTTTGGGTGCCAGTCAGTGTACAATCAAAATGATTTTGAAGCTGTTTGAGATCAAATTAATACATACATATTGCTTTAAAGAGCAATTTAGAGATAATTACACTACCAGCATGAGTTAAGGCCAATTTATACTTCTGCGTCAAATCAACGCCGTAGGTACACCTTACTTGACGCACACTTCCACAAAATTGTAACTACATGTCACACCGTCGGCTAGACGCAGAAGTATAAATTGGCCTTTTGCAGCTGACACTTTGGTGACATTTGAGTAATTGCACCAAAAATAGTACGTGGCAATATTAATACCAAAAATTATTTTTAGAACAAACTTTAATATAACAGTACAGTTAATCACCTATATGCCATCTTTCTGATATGAGTGTACACTTGCACTCAAAGGTACCCTATGAAATTTTGACCCATGGTTGTGCTGTACAGCAATTTTGCAATTTGTTTGCACCTGGTGCTCTACCAGCACACACTTGGTGAAATCAAAGGCATGCTATGAGCATAAGGGGAAATGTGATCCACAGTTTTGCAGACTGCAGAGAGCTATTGGCAGCTGTAGTGTGCTGTAAAAGATGCCCCAATAAAAGAGGAGGAGAAGGAGAGATCAAACCATGGTGAACACTGCAGGTTTCAAAGTGTTTAAAAGCAAGGGTTTGCAAATCTTTTAGAATTTAGAAAATATATTCGGGAGAAATGAGACATGTAATAAAATAGGTTTGTTAACAATGAAAATTCCACAGTGTACAGTGTTAAATGTGGACTGGAGCACAGCACTTTATTACAGTTGCAGCTAGAGTTATAGTCAAGACCGCCCAAACCGAGACCAAGTCAACACCAAGACCAGAGTTTATCAAGACCAAGACTTTAAGGGGCTGAGACCAAGTCGAGACCAAGACCGATGGAGGGCGAGAACGAGTCAAGACCACCTAAAAGTAATCTTAAGACCGGTCTCGAGACCAGGACTGTACTCGAGTACTACAACACTAGTTGCAGCTATCAGAGCTTCAGTTGTCAGAGCAAATGGCAATAAAGCTCTCTTAAGTCTCTTATATCTTGGAGAGTGCAGTTACATGTTTTTGACATGCTCAAATGCTTTAAGAACTGGTTTAGTGTATTTGTATTTATTTATACATCCTTTTCTATATATAAAAGGTTCAGGACAAAAGCGCACACACACACACACACACACACACACACACACACACACACACACACACACACACTTACTGTACATAGAGACAGAAAGACATCATCCTCTAGGTCACTAACACTAACATATTTGGTTTTACCAGTGTATGTAGTGTTTCTGTTGTTTCCGATGTTGTTTATTGGCTTTGTTGTTGTTGTGTGTGTTATTTCAGAGGCGGCGGGTAAGGCGGCGGACAGACAGAAAGGTAAAGCAATAGTTAGATAGACAGACATTTTGAAAGGAAGGCAGTCAGACACTGTAAGACAGGGAGAAAGCTAAACTGTGACAAGCACCACATTACTTCAGGCTTATGAGAACTCATAGGTGCCAGAAAGGTGCATGATAACGATGATGATAATAAGCATGGTATTATATTATATTGCAAGAAAACACATTCAGGGGGTTAAATCAACTCTGCCTTTTCCACAAGGCAGCAAATTGCCCTTTATAATACATACTGTAAATGGTTTGCACTTGTAAATCCAATGTAAATATTTTGCATATCGCTACACAAACTGACATGTTGTACATGTTGTACAATATGTCCTTCTCTATAAAGCTCTGATTATTCAGAACATTATGTAGCAGCTGTTAGATGGAACTTTGTGTTATCCTGTTTTTGCAGTGAGAAAGAATAAGTTACTTAATAAAGCGTCACGATACGCTTTAAAAAGAGACACAGGTGCAGACAAAGTAGACCAAACTCAGACAGACATGGAGCCACAAAAACAGAATGATAGCGAGGGGGAGTTGCAGAGTAGCTCTGTTCCCCACACCTCCAGCCCCCCCTGACCTCTGTCTCCGGCACGCTTCATTACTCCACCCTCTTCTGTCTCCGATTTGTTCAAAGGGCGGTTCAGTTCGAAAAGAGGCCTGGCTATGTGGAAAACAATTTTCTCAACTGCTGAAATGAATCCGCCTTTTAATTTTCACTACTTTAATTTCACTAACAAAAAGAAATAAAATCTGACATATTTGCATGTCGTCACCCAAAACACTGGGATTCTTTTTGGGTGGACCAAAAGGACGCCATGTGTTTATGACAACAGCAGGCCTCTAAAAAGAGCTGAACTCCTTTAAGTCTGGGTGTCCACTGTATGATTTCTTCAACCCTCTGTGTTTTACCTTTACATTCCTGCCAAACATTCAAGATTGGAGAGGATTGACTAAACTATGTTATCTTCCCGCAGTGACCTCATCACCTAAGTAACGATAGATGTTCCTTTCTATTTTACAAATATCACGTGATTTTCTACACAAACCCTTTTTCTAGCATCACAAAGTTTGCCTTGTATTTATTTTGCACAGATATTGTGTTTGAGATGCTGGTGAGGTCACCATGGGATATTAAATTGCATGGGATGGCCTGCATATTGATCAAACTAAACCTAGAGGTATCAGGCTTGTCAGAGTTACTGAACTGTTGCAAAAAAGTATGACTGGAAAAAGACTGAACTCTAAGAACCTGTAACCTCGTATTTTCTCCTTGCCTGATATCTGATAACAACCTTGGTTAAAATTGCACATGCAAAGCCTAATTGTTGAACACCTCTTCTCTGTGACTGCCACAGAGGTGTCAGCAGGTAAGAAGGTGGGTAAGGCCGGCAGCAGCAGCATCCAGAGGAGCGTGGAGACGGGCATGGCGGTGGAGTACCCACGAGGAGGGTCAACCATGAACCGGCAGGCCAGCAGAGAGTCGACTGATGGTAGCATGAACAGCTACAGCTCTGAGGGGAAGTACGTACTCACTAAAGGATAGTACTACATGTGAACACAGAATGTTGTGTGGCAATAAAAATGACTTGTACATGGTTGTGTTGAAAGATATTCTCAAGAAGGACTGTGGCAGTGCTTGCGCATGGGAGCTCCGTCTTTGGTATCATTAGAAGTTCTAAAAGGAAATTATAATGTCTTATATTCACAAGGAAGAAAGTGGTTTAAGCATTTAAGCAAGTGATTTAGTATTTAGGTCAAAGCACCTCTGACTGCAGGCCAAATGACCCAAATTTGTGTGAACAACCCAAGTCACGTGGAATCTGATCTCCTCCAGTTCGGATTTGGGCCACGTTCATATGTTGTCCAAGTCAGATACAGATCAGATTTAAAAGCAGGACAGTCAGATCGAAATATATGATGTCACTTTAGAGCGACGTCACAGTTCTGCAATAGCGGGAGCCATGATGAATGCAAACAACGGGGATGTCAGCGATGGAGTTAGTCAGTGGGAGCAGGGAGATGTCAGACCTCATAAGTATTTCGTGTGAAGCTAAACTAGAGCGGCTGTTTGGTAACCTGTCTGTTTCATGCTTATGACAGCGTGCTGCGTATGACATTGTGTTATTCTTTTGAGCATGCTGGTCACTTTCAGGCCTTGGCCATTTCACACTGGAGTGTGATATGGCTCAACAGTCAATAAAGAAATCAGAATTGGGTAATAAATTGAGCATTAATGCATGCAGGGTGAACGTAACTTCAGTCCAAACACATTTTTCAGTGTTTTGTCATATCGTCTAGAATATTATTAATAATATTTATCGCAGAACTACCCTGAAATATTATGGAATATATTTTTGCTGACAAATCACAGGTGCCAAAACACTGTGCATGAACGCGGCAGCTGCAGCCGCTCATGCTACGCCTCCTGTGTAGACATGATGTTAGTCTTGTTTGAAAATAGACCTCATTTAAGCTCCATCTGATATTTTCTTGGGGGTAACTTTCATTTTGTCAGTAGAAACCAGCAAATTGTGACAGACAAATATAGTTACCAATGATATGCAAAAAAGACGGAACAGTGCATAAGACACATAGCTTTGGTGTGAGAGACCCGGGTTTGAATCCACTGTGAGACACCAAAGTGTCCCTGAGCAAGACACTTAACCCCTCGTTGCTCCAGAGGCGTGCGACCTTGCTTTGGATGAAAGCGTCAGATTAATGTTAATATCTCTAGCAGCTTGCAGCAATGTTTTTAAAGACAAGTGAGCACCATATCAACACTTCACAAGAATTACTTAAGCACGTGGCTTCGGTGTGCAAGTTCCTGTTTATCTTACTATTGTCTCTTACACATGCGGTTGACTATACACTGTGCTATGGTATAACCATTATCATTATAGTAGTATAGTGTGGGGTGACAATAATTGTTGTTTTCCCAAACTTATAATTGCACCCTTAATTGCATCTTACAGCATGTGTTTGGAGTAGTGATGCGGGAACTGTTAATAATAATTTGTGTGTGTGTGTCAGTCTGATCTTCTCAGGTATGCGGTTGGGTGCCGACAGTCAGTTCAGTGATTTCCTGGATGGTTTAGGCCCCGGTCAGCTGGTTGGCCGGCAAACACTGGCAACACCTGCCATGGGTAAGTGATGGCTCCATCAGATCCACTGCACAATCCATTAGCCCAAATTATTATATTTGTAATGCAAGAAAGAAACTACAAATATTATCTTCTGTTACATGTAAAAATAGTAGAATACCAGTATACTTAATAGTTAATATATTTGTACTGTATGTACTGTGTATGTGTTGCTTTGAGAACTTGGATCTAAACTTTTATATTAGTTTGAGTTTCTGATACTTTCAAAATAATTTGTCTAAATGTGTTTTTTGTGTGTTTTTGCATATGTCTCCTGTACATACAGGTGATGTTCAGATAGGTTTGATGGATAAGAAAGGTCAGCTGGAGGTGGAGGTGATCAGGGCACGAGGCCTTACCCCCAAATCAGGCTCCAAATCCCTCCCAGGTAACACACACACACACACACGCACACACGCACACACATACTTGAACCTTAAATACAGCACTTCCGCATTAAACCTGAAACCAAAGTCAAACACACACCCAGTCCAACTAAGTTTATCCCTCTGTCTTTTGCTTCTTCCTCCCTCCTCATTATATCTGGCCTCCCTCTTTCTCTCTTTGTGCTCCCTCTTATCCCCCCATCCTTAGCCCCCTATGTCAAGGTGTACCTGCTGGATAATGGAACTTGTAAAGCCAAAAAGAAAACTAAGATTGCACGAAAGACCCTGGAGCCGCTCTACCAGCAGCACCTGCTCTTTGATGAGAGTCCCCAGGGCAAAGTGCTTCAGGTAATCTTCTGTGTGTGTGTGTGTGTGTGTGTCGCAACAGTGCAGGCAAACTGCAAAGTGCTTCTGTGGCCACAAGGTGGTGCCTCTGGGGTGAAGGATCAGAGAGCAGAGACAAAGAGATCAGACTCCTCTCGGAGACACAGATGATAGCACATTAGCAATGCTAACGTTAGCAGCCGTGGTAACAAATCGTTTTCAGAGTTCATAAGGGCAAACAGTCGAAGTTATCTTTGTTATGATAGATGCAACAAAATTGCAAAGCTGATTCTAAACAAGTTGCGTGTGTCATCCGTCACCGTGACAGCAACTACACTTTTCAGATTAAATAACAAGTGGATTAGCCATGCTCTTTCAATCAGCAAGAGAGGAAAACCTGGAGGTATTTTACCTACTTTCTTGACAAGGAGGATGGATAAGAAGAATCACATGTTTTTAAATGTGCTATATAAATAAAATGGATAGGATATTGTCTGCTATGTGGCAAAAGGGAGTTACAAAATCAATTTCACTCTATAACCTGTTGTATTGTGACAAAATAAATCTACCTACCTATTACATTAGATAAGGCACAAGGTTTTGTTTTGACAAAATTAACCTGTTAATAGCAATCATCTGTGTCTGTGTACTGAGTCTGTGTCTCTAAGACGGGTTTGGGTCCCACGTTTCTTGCACGAGTGCGGATCTCAGCTTCAGGTCATGTTCGGTTCTGGCTAGCACATTTCTGGGTCTGTAGGGTTCAGGCATGAATCTTTAGACCTGTGAAGACCTCTACTTGAGACATGTCTCAAATGACTTGAGACTCGGGTTTGTCCTGAAAGACCTGTGATTTGACTAGAACTTGTTTCAAAATACTTTAACTTGGACTTTCAAATGACTTAAGACTTAAACTGGATTTACACAAACGAAATGATTTAAGTTTTCCAGTCGTTGTGAAGACTTCATGTGTTATGATTTCTATCATAGTATTATACCCCGAATTCGAATTCATATCAGACACACCGAAACTAATATTAATAATTGCTGCAAAATATGTCTCCTCATGCCATGAAGTGAGGACAACCAGTGGAAAGTCAGACTGATAAATAATTGTGTTTTATTTATTTATTTTATTGTAATTTTTAATATATTTTAATTTTTATTTATTTTATTTTTTTAACACACACACACGCTTACTGTTTTATTCATTTATTTTATTTTAATTTTAATTTTTTTTTTTTAAACACGCACACACATACACAAGCTTACTGTTTTATTATTTATTTTATTTTAATTTTTAATATTTTTCATTTTAATTTACTACTTTAATTACTTTACACTTTAATTACTTTATGCTTTAATTACTTGTTTAATTAAATGTATGGGGTTGATTGTTCTTATGTAGTTTGTATGACGCTTTGGCAATATTGTTGTTATACATTCATGCAAATAAAGGTAATCTGAATTGAATTAGTATTTCTTTCTCAGTGCTTACTCATTGAATTCACCTCTACCATTCTCTCCTCTAGGTGATAGTATGGGGCGACTACGGAAGATTGGACCACAAATGTTTCATGGGTGTAGCACAGATTCTATTGGAGGAGCTGGACCTCTCAAGCACGGTGATTGGCTGGTACAAACTGTTTCCACCATCCTCATTGGTGGACCCCACATTAGCTCCGCTCACGCGGCTGGCGTCTCAGACGTCATTGGACAGCTCAGGACCGCCACCGGGCGTTCGGTCCTAGTGACCGAATGGCAACCGCAAACCCCACAGTATCCCTTAAATGACAAAATAATGGACCGCACTGGACCAGAACTGAGCAGAGGGCGACTACACGCCCCGGGGGCGACAACGAGAAGCCCTCGGTCAACCAATGAAAAGCCAGACGGAGCGACAGGGAATGAGAGCGAGAAAGAGAGAGAGGGAGAGACAGAACTAGCCAATCAAAGCTTAGCTGGAGTCTGACAATCACGTCTCACACCTTCCCTCTTCCTCCTCCGTACGCCTTTTTGTTTTCAAAGCTTTGCTTTCTTTGTTTTCTCCTCTGAGCTGCAGCAGTGGAGGTTTCTGTCCAATATTCTTCATTTCTCTCTACTGTCTTTCTTTTCTCCTTACTTTCTTGCAGCCCCTATCTGAGCACCCGATCAAAGTGGACTCCTCCACACAGTAACCCTCCAGCCAATCTTAGTAGATCTTACTGCAAGGCCACTGGGATGAGGAGTGTAAACAAAGTGTGGGAGCAGAAAACTTCGTGAAGCTGTACCGTCACGCAGAGGTTGGTTGTTGGTTGTCTCTGCCGGTGTTACCGTGGTAACAGTGTAGTCGGAAACGAGCACGAGGGGCAGCAGTTTGGCGCGGTTTGGTAACCTCATTAGATGAAGGGAGCCTGCACACGCACGTGCACATTCTTAGCCTTGTTGTGATACATGAAAGCAAGCACAAGAAAAGCTTGACTCCTTTATTCGGTCGGAGGCAAACAGAAGGTTTTACTCTTTGTCTAAACAAACAGGAAAGAAAATAGAGGCCAAATTGACTATTTGCTCTTTTTTTTTTCATTTGGAATCTTTTTTTTTTGTCTTTGTTGTTCCCAGAGTTCAGAATGGTACCATAAGGTGCAGACTCCCTCTGTGTACGTGCATGTTTGGTTTTCGAGCGATGGTGCGCCAAAGGCCGACAATAAAGGTCAGGTCACATTCACCCGAACACCATTTACCCAACCCTCCCCCTACCTCCCGGTCTCCTCCCCTCCCTGATCCCTCACACTCCCCCTGCAGGAGGGAGCAGCATGACTCGGGGACGCCCCGCCCCGGCCCCAAGCTGCATGCACGTTTCTTTTGTTCTGTTTGTTTCGTTTTTTGTTTTGTTCTCTACTTTTTTGTAAAATAGAAGACGAGACAAATTAACGAACAATTCTCAAAAAAACAAAAGCAGAAAAAAAGACTAGACTATGTGTTAGTTCCACATACTTTTAGGCCAGCTTGTATGTTGCATGTTCTTGTACAGTTTGCTCGTACTGAATATGAATACAAATCGAGAAAAGCCAAGCCATCCCCGCCCCCTAACAGGAGCGGACCAATGGGGGGGGATCAACTCCGCCCGGGCCATGCCCACCACTCTGGGTCTAAATATACATATTAGAAAGTCTCCGGGAAAAAAAAAAATCTTTGTTTCAGTTTTTTCTTTGAATCCTTTGAACTACAGTGCTGTTCTGTAGTACTGAGCATACTCGAGCCCCTGGCGTATCTGAGGGTGTAGGTGTCTAAACAGTTTAGCACAGTCGGGTCTAGAGACAGAGATAGAGAATGTGTGTACAACAGCTAAATGTATAGGAAGTATCATTATGAGTTTGACAGAAATTATAAAGATATAGATATATGAATATGAAAAAAGAGTGTATCTGACTGTCCACCCGTCACCAACACACACACGCGCACACCTTGTACATACAAACCAGGATGAGCAGCTTGAACTTAAGTTATGAACAAACGAAACATCGCTGAGACACAAACATTCCTGGTCTTGTTGAAGGGAAGTTGCGTCCTGTGGATGTGCTCGAGCCGCTGAGCGGCACTGAGCCTCGAGGGGCGCTAATAGGCCTTTATATTTGTCCCAGTTGCAGAAAAGCAAGCAGAACCAATTGGAACAAAGTTTACTTTCTTCTCCTTCAATCCCTTTCCCCTGTTTATTACTATTGGTTTGGACTGGACTTCTAAAGCCAATGAGAAATCTGATTTTGCAGACATATTTTGCGGATGTTTCTGTTGAAACCCTTGGCGGTGTGGCCGACTGCCCTTTCCTTTGTCAGTATTACTCCAGGAATACTGATTGTTTACAGCCCATGGCTCCCCACTCCCAAACCACGATTTTAGACGAAAGACTAAGTATTCACTGCAACAGTTGTTGTTTGTATAACAGATGTGGCTCTACTGATGTGTATGTTTTATATTCAAGAGTTCATTTTTATTATTTACAAATAAAAGACTGTGTGGAAGAAGATCATGTTTTTTTTTCTTCTGCCTCAATTATTGCAAAACAGATGACTTCAGAGCCTTATTTAACCTGGAGAATGTGAATTGTGACCGTTTCTTTTTCACTGGCACACGTACAAAGAGAAGATAAACCTGTACTATATTTTCTAGGATTCACCAACCTCTTGACAGAAGGTAAGAGAAGAGTTCCTGTGGAAAAAACGATTTGTACACTGCCCCCCCCCCCCCCCCATCAAACCTGTGAAAACATAGTTTCAGTTTTTGTGTAAGTTGGATCCATGTCATTGCACCTGGTGGGTGGCCTCAGGGCACAAATTTGTTGGGCCCGTACTGACCCTCAGTGTATGTGACAGCTTCATGATGAGACCAACTTGTACTCTAATTTAGTTTTTTCATTTTTGTTTCAGCTTCAATTTGGACTGTACCTCTTCTCAGGCTCCTACTGCCACCATGTGGAGTGACTAGGCATGACGTTCATTTTTAATATACATTCTGATAAGACTGTCTATTTCACTCTATAATTCTCAAGCCAAAGAAAGCACTTATTGGCAAGTTTGTTAAAGTTTAAAATTGTTTATATATAGGTAGATGTTTTTTAGACTCTTACTAAACGGTCGGCACACAGCAGTAGACTGTTAATTAACCTCCTGCCATCCACCCATAGCTATCACAGAGGGAAAAAATAGACCAAATATAATTTCTTTTGCTCAGATTTCTTTTATTTTCTGTTATAGAACCGGTAAAAGGACAAATGACCTCTATCAGACAAGTACAAAAAGCACTGGCTGACACATGGTGCATAGGGGTGCAACATCATTAGAGAATAACACTCCTCAGGCTAATGCATGGACAGTTATTAGTGTTCATAGATATTTCACATCTCTCATCTGGGGCTCCCAGCTCGGTAACTGCTTAACAGAACTTGGTGCAGGGATAAATTGATGGACTTCAACTTCCTGCAGGTAAAGCCAAATGCTTTTGCTTTGGGTAGGTGTAAATGTGTGGATGCGTTTTCACTACCATCAAGTGTCACCATTTGTTGAGAAGCTTTCCAGTTATTACATGATCGGCTCAGAAAGTCAGGAATCCGAGTTCTGACCTAGTCCAGCCAAACATATTTTTTTCTTCATACAATCTAAACCCCTACAAAAGATACAAAAGATAAAACAATGCAGCATACATGATGAGAGGGAAAATCACCAAAGTGGTGGGAAACACACCACGATACTTTAAAAGCAGTGACAGTGACAGCAAGGTCTGATTTTAAAGAGTTTTATTTGTCTTTTCCGAAAATTCAACTGACTCACAAAATCTATTTTGTTTTGAAGTACATATTAAAACTGTAGAATACTGACCTGCAGTGGAGAAGGGCCTTCACACTGGCTCTCATTCACCCATTCAAACATACACTCACATGATGGTGGGAAGGCACTGGCCATCAGGAGCAACCCTAGGCTCAGTGCCTTGACCCGAGGAATCAAACCACCAACCCGAACAGCACACATCTGGAGCACACATCAGGGCAAAGGTGAGTCCTCTTGTAGCCATCCAGAGAAGCTCAGTGGTCATTTTAAAATATGAACTAATCTAACAGATTGATCCTCTATGAGAAAGTCTTATAAGTCATAGTTTTATCAGTGAAATGGTATCAGTTTAAGATTAAAAATCACAATATCTAGTGTGCTGTGGCTCAAACTTTCATTTTAAGCCATTTTAAGCTCTTTAGTGCCGTCCTGTGGTGGGTTTAGTGAACTGAATGAGTTTGTAAAACCAACCAGTTTCAGGTCTGCTGTTGACAGACCAAAGAGTAAAAAGATGAATACAGAAATAAAGAAAATGCCAGTAAAGACTATAAAGTCTAGAACCTGAACATTAAATTGTGGTAGTAAATAAAAGCTGTTAATCCTTCAAAATAAAAGCAGACAGATTAGTCACTGCATGCAGGCTGATGCCATGAAATAACTGGAAATCCGGGACCTTTTCACCGTGTGGAAATTAATTTACCAGTGTAAGTGATCGTAATAAGACTTTTAACAATATATAGATATATTTCATTTGAACTCTCCCTTAAAACGTCCCCATTTTCCTATAATCTCTGCCAAATCAAGGTTTACATCTGTGGGTGGATTGAAAAAAAGGTTCACACCTGCTGGCTCCTTTTTGTGGTACTTTTTAAGTTCATTTCATCGCGAGTCCCTTTGGGTGGCTGGCAAACTCTCCGTAACTGAGCTGTGATGTTCAGAAATGCATCAATAAGCAAATGAGACCATCTCTTCTCCTGACTTTATCCTCCATTTACAGATCAATCAGAGAATGACTTAGTGATTAAGTATCAGAATTCCGAATTTATTATGTAATCTATAAACTGTGGATAGTGAAACTGATGCAGATATTGGCTTTTCATTAAATGTGAGATATCAACCAGTCGGTGCGGATTCCTCCAAACTAGTTTGGACATCCTGAACTGCAAATGAATAAGAGAGATGAATGTTCCATAGTGATGTTTCAAAATGATTGTTGTCCCTGGTGAAAAAAATCATGGGGGACACATCACCTTTGGTTTGGCATGAAATAGTCACATTTAATGGAACTGGATCGTCAGAACAACAAAATCTAAAGTCTGAACTTAAGTCTATAGTTTAAGTCATTGCCTAACTGTCACATGTCAACAGTAACTCCCCAAACTTTTCCAAAATACTAAATTATCCCTAAATCCATCTTTTGGTTAAAAAAAAAACTGCGACGAGAGAAGGTGTCTTTAGATGTGTCTTGAGTTGAATAGCTGTCTGTGTTCTCTGTGCAGTGCAACAGCATTTAAGAGTCACCTCACACAACACCAGTGTCTTTATACTGATGTCTACCCCGCAAAATAATGATAAAGTAGCTCCAACATGCAGAGAACCCACAGAAACCCCCTTAAATATAGGCCTAGTCTAATAGTGTGTGTAGTACTTATCATATTATTATAAGCATTTCACTGGTCACATGCACTGTTCTGTTCTTAAGGTTCGGTTCAGGTTCTTCAGGGGTTTTATAATGCGGAGTAATGTAATGATCTTACTGCACTCCATGGTACTTTAGATTTCCAAAATACTGAAAACATGTCTTGTAACAGGCTCTCCAGAAAAAGACAAAACCCTCAACATGACCTCTCTGCATCGGTTTCCAGTTGAGGTTTAAAAAAAAAATTCTATCTGATTTTTAAGGTTTTACTCATTGCCTTAAAAGTAGGCCTACTCCCTGGTCTGCCTCCAGCTTACATTTCTGAGGCTTTGTGCCCATACATTACCTGCACCTTACATCCTGCAACAAAAATCTACTAGCAATCCCCAGATCTGGACTTAAAACCAAGGGAGATTGTGCATTTGCTGTCCTTCCCTGTCAGAACAGACTTCCTGTAATTCTTCTTTTTTTAAACCTACATTTCTACTGCCCTGCCTCTTTGAACTTATTCTTTGTTTTGTCCCAATATTTCCGTTATTTTATTGTTTTTGCATGTGAGTTTCCCTCCTTTCCCCCTGTAAAGCAACAGTTTATTATTATTAGTGGTAGGTGTCTGTTCTGCTGCAACAATTGTAGGCTTTATGCATGAAAACAAACTAACAGTGCAACTTATAATTGATCTCTAATGATAATAATGTGATGTCAGTCTCAGCCATAGCTCCACTCCATGTCCCCAGAAATCCAGTCTGTGGGGACCGAAGATTCAGAGTCAGACGACACGAGATGTCGCCAGTTCTTTGTGGTTAGCAGGCAGCTGAAACAGAAGGGTGTCATGTCAGATTAGATTTGTTATGTTCCTCCCTCGGTGTTAATGGTTTGAAAGGCCCCCTGGTTTGGCTGCGTGGCAGCGCTTCAGAGCCCATTAGAAACTCGCTGCCGTGATAGCAGTCATTACCGCAGTATTCCCCCGTCCGGCCCGCACCGCCCCTCACCGCCGCTTAATCTAATTAGATAGCTTGGCTCCTGCCTTTTGGGGTGGGAGGGGGGTTCTTCCATTGTTATTCATTAAAAATACATGATTTATCACTAAGCTCTCTGAGGTGCGGCCCGCTCAGACTCCGGAGCGCTGGAAACAGCGCTGCGCGAAGATTTACTGGATCTGAACTTCATTTCTAGCCGCTGATCACTGCTGCGGAATTATTGGACTGGATTAATAATCCTTGTAGACTCAATCAGTCGGACACTATTTAATATTACACCAATTCACAGGTACTGAAATCGTTTCTGCCCTTACTGGCATTATTAGGGATTTGAAAACCCTTCGGAAATAATAGTCTTGTAATAATAGTAGGCTAATAATAATAATAATAATCATCATCATCATTATTATTATTATTATTATTATTATTATTATTATTATTATTATTATCCTTGTTATATAATAATATTGTAAGGAATGTTAAAGAAATTAGGAAATCAGATCATCATATTTTCACAGATTTGTTCTTGAGATTTATCACACTGGAAGGTGACTAAAAGCAGGAAATTAATAAATATATATAAAAAAATCTATATCGTATTCCCATCCAAGTTATTTTACCTTCAATCCTCCATGAAACCAATCTTTTTGCCTTGTGTTGACGTTATGGGGCGATTAACGCTGAAAGGTGGGAACAACGTTTTTAAAATGATCTGTTTTATTCCATCAAATAAAAAATATCAACGATTCCAAGCACACCTGAAAGAGGAGAGGTGATCTTACGGATTTCAGGGTTTTGGTTTCATTTTGGACCATGAACACCAAACTCTGTCCGGAGCAAACACAAAGATCTACTCAACACACATCCTGACGTTTGAACGAGGGAATTGTTGTCTTGAGCGATCCAAACCATATCCTGAGAAAAATCCATAATACTTTATATTTCTTTCTGTAGTGGTTTTTATTCTCCAAAGTCCAGACCAGCTCCTCCTCATGTTCACTCTGTATTCAACACAAACGACCTCTCCCCCAAGTTGACGTTTATTCGGTTGATTTGAATGAATATTTCCAAAATTGCAGACCGA